CATAAAATGGGCGAAATAACGCATAAACAATTTGATGTTCGTGAACATCAATATTGGTGACAAGCAAGCTTCACTTTTTTTCCACTACGAAGTACACGGGCGCTGCTTGTACGAAATTCCGTTTGTATGAAGCATGTCACGCCGATGTTTCAAATAAAAGAAGGACAAAATTAAGAGAGAGAAAAAAATCGATACAATGGTCGTTCCATCGGCGATAAGCTCATAACGTACAAAAGACATTTTATTTAAGCATCTGACATTATCATTTGATCGTTGAGTGACTTCATATCTATTCACATAAAAATACCATTGTACGCTACAAGCCACCGCCGCCGCCGCCACCTCCAACCATTTTTATTCATGAAGTATTTTCCAAAAGCGAATTCCAATAAAATTGTGAATTATAATATGCAGTTATGCATTCAACACAGCTCCCAATTGTGCTCTTAACGTTATTATAATTTGTTCCAGTTGCGAATTTTTATGCTGACGAAGCACCATGCAAAGCACACACCAATACACACAGACTCATTGAAAATAAAGTCTTTTTTTAGGTCTTGGTTGTTCTCATTCCTTCGCTTGTTCTTTTTTTATAACTTGCATTTAAAACATGCACCTCATTACATATTCAATAATAGTCATATTTATATAGCGACAGACCAGTCGTATACGTACAGTAATAGGTTTGTTTGCTTTGTTCAATCAACATGATATTTCAATACACAATCAAAAGCAGAACTTTAGCCACCAGCTCTTTTGAACGAAAAGATGACAATAACCGAACATACAAAACCTTACCCAATGAATTCTATGACCAGGCGAATTGGAACGCATAAACGAGTAGTTGTTCAACTTGTGCATGTATTTTCTCTCTCTCTCTCTCACTCCATCTATTTCTTTCTCTTATTCTCTCTGCCCGTCTCTCTATCTCCAAATCGTCATTTTGCATTGTTGCTGCGTTCCACACCAAAACTAAACGGACAGATAAAATTCACGATAAGTGGAAAACTTTGTTCTTATTTTATCGTTCGTTCGGTGTGCTGCTGTCACATACACAAATGGACGCAAATATGACAGTCCCTTAGCGATGTACACAGTACAACAATGGCAAAAAGAAGAAAAAGAAGAACGCGATGGTGTTGTTGAGCGGTTCAAATGAGGAGATGGCATAATTAGAAAGTGATAAACATTTTCATTTTCATTGGTCAAGGTAAAAATAAATGTTGTCGATTCATCGGTATATACGAAACAGAAAAGAAAATAGTTTCGTTGGCGTCGTCATAACGAGCGACCCGTTTCACCTCCATATTTTGCGTATATAGACAAAGTTTTACTTTGTTTTTGATTTGTTATTTACCAGCATTGTTGCTCATTCTTTCGTTGTTGCTGTGAACTTTGTCGTTGTAAAGATAAAAATAGCAATACCAAAACAAATATCCGAGAGACACAAGTTTATTCTTGCAGAATCAGCGGAGAGAAATATAGTTTTCCTAACATATTTCGATTTTTTTTTTGTCAGAAAAAGTGTTTTTAACAAAATTCGATTTTGAAATTTTGAGGTTTTGGAATTGAATTTTGTTCATTTTTTCATGAAGAATTTTATGGTGGTTTCAGTTTTCATTTATGATGAGTCTTTTTGAAAAATTTGCCAGGTTAATAACAAAAATATGTTATTGATATGTTAATAAGATCAGTATCTTATTAACTAGCATTTTTGGGTTAATTTTTCAAAATGCTCAATCGAAGCTTCAAACTGAAACCACCACAAAATTCTTCGTGAGAAACTAAACAAAATCCGAATTTAAAACCCCAGAATTTCAAAGTCGAATTTTGTTGAAAAACACTTTTTCTGAAAAAAATCGAAATATGTTAGGAAAACTATAGAGAGAAAAAAAAATTGTTGCAAAATCGGTTGCAAGTTTGAATGTCTGACACATGAATAGTTAACGATTGAAATGATTTGCAATGGGGGATGAAAGCAGCTTCAACAGCAACCATTGTATCTTTTAGACTGTAGATTCAAGAATGTAGATTCAAAACAGAGCAGAATTGAAGTTGCAAATTGGTATTTTGCACAGTTCATTCGTTCGTTCGCTATTTTTTCGCTATGCATTAAAGTGGAAACAATTCTATTCAGTTCCCGTTTTTTTCTCTCTTCAAAACAGAAATGCACGATACGTTACTATTTTTGAATCGATCGCAAAACCATAACAATAACTTGTTATTCGAACACATTTCGAGTGGAACGATATATTAAAATGGGCATTCATGTGTATATAGTGAGAGGGAGCACAACAAAGCAACATTATAATGGAACTGAAAATGGAAAATACCTGGAATGAAATCACGTTGCTTTATGATATCGCTTTGTGTGTTGGCCAAACTGACCGCGTTCAACGGCATGAGTGGCGTTCAAAGGTCAACCGCTTATATATGTTCACAATTTGGAATTTTTCGATAAAATAAAAGTAGGTTTCCTCCCGTTTCCGATAATAGAAAAAAGGATGATGTCTCTTGAGAGATTGTTAAATAGGAAACGCTGTTCGTTTTACTACACTCTTTGCTACCGTCATTAAATTTGAATGGAACGAACGGACATTAGATCGATCATTGCTATGACTGCCGAACACGACCGAACACAGAATTTGTTGAAAGCTGATGGTGATCGGGAGAGTGAGTGTAATGTCATGGTAATCATTGCGGAGAGCAAAAAGTTACTAAAACAAAACCACTTCACCGACAAACAATGACAATGGCGTCAAACATAAATAAACACAATCTCAATTGCTATCAATTGTATAGTTTTCCTAAGATATTTCGATTTTTTTCAGAAAAAGTGTTTTTAACAAAATTCGATTTTGAAATTTTGAGGTTTTGGAATTTAATTTTGTTCAGTTTTTCATCAAGAATTTTATGGTGGTTTCAGTTTTCATTTATGATGAGTCGTTTTGAAAAATTTGCCAGGTTAATAACGAAAATATGTTATTAATATGTATATAATATATCTTATTAACTAGCATTTTCGGGTTAATTTTTCAAAATGCTCAATCGAAGCTTCAAACTGAAACCACCACAAAATTCTTCGTGAGAAACTAAACAAAATCCGAATTTAAAACCCCAGGTTTTCAAAGTAGAATTTTGTTGAAAAACACTTTTTTTTGAAAAAAATCGAAATATGTTAGGAAAACTATAATCAATTGTAACAAGTCAACCAAAGCAGAGAAAAAAAATTGAGCGCAATGTAATTGTGTGCGTGGGGTGTTCATCCATTCGTTCAACAAACACTTGATTAGTTTTTCGGTTTAGTTTTCCCCCTTGGCTGTGGTGTTTTTTCAAAGTTAAATTGCGCCAAAGAAATACACAGTCTACAAGTTCAACCCATTCAATATTCTATTTCGTCCATATGATTTTGGGCCGGGCAAAGAATTCAGAGATTTAATTTTCGCAACGACAAACACAGAAAAAGTGGGGAAAAACCATTGCAAAGAAAGTTGATACGATTTGGTTTTTATTTGTATTTGCGTTTGCAGCTGCCGAACAGCGCACTGTCTATGTCTTTTCAAGCAAATTGCGGCCATGAACGGCTTTCTGTTTAGCTGTACATTGATATTACCGTTTTGTTTGTTCTTTATCCATCCATGAGTAATACGCTCAGCAGAGTGCGTCTGATTCTGAGCTCACGCTACACATTGCACGAAATACTTTTTGTGTATGGCAAACGCAGCGAAAATCGTTTTCTCTTGTTTTCTTTTTCTTCTTCTTCTTTTGCTCCACTCAATCGGTATGGAAACGAGCAAAACAAATTCGTTAGTAAATTTTGTGCTTCCGAGAATCAACAAATGGAACACACAAAAAAACAACAACAGGAGAAGTACTTTATCTCCACAAAATATGAGCCAAATAGAGAGTGTCTGTTATCGAATGAATGCGGTTGGCTTTTTGTTTGTGTGTGTATGTGACTGAACAGCATGAACCATACACACACACACACTACCAATATTGAGAAGTAAACCATCGAATTGAAAGTCGATGTTAGTTCGATGCTACTTTTTGATGTAATGCCTTTTCCTTATGTTCAAACTGTCGAGACTCGAATAGACTTCATTCGGCAGCACATTTACTGAATGACTTGCAATTTATTTTTGCCGATGCGAGACGAAAAAGAAGTGAGAAGGAAAGAAAGAACGAACAGAGATAAAATGCGCTTTGATGAGACTTCCATTGAAACATGTACGTAGTAACCATAATCGAGGGAATTTATAACCTTTTTCCGATCTACTTTGGACCATTGACAAAGCATTTCCGCTTTTATTCGTGTTCGATGCTCGTGTTTCCCCCTTTCTAACTGAATCACCGCCGACACAACAGAAAAATTCGATACTAAATCCACTGTAAAATGTGCAAATATTTTCAACAACATCCAAAGCAGCAACACTGTGTATGGTACACGTTCCATTTCTATCGTACGCACCCGATAGATAATTTTGCAAAAGCTAACGAATGCCATTAGGTGGCACAAACACGTATTCCCATGCAATTGATAGATTTATGTAATTTCGTTTCTCTATCTCGACGCATCCATTCGTTTTATCTTATTTTTATGGCTTTCACATTCTTTTATTCGTTTCATAAATTTCGCGTCGGCTAAACCAACAAGAACAACAAGAAAATGATGCATGCATACGCACACCCACTTTAAATTTATCGATACTGGAAGTATAAGTTTAGCTAGAGCTCGATTAAAGTATTTATGCAAGGCATTTTTCCCTTTACGTCATGTCACTTTTCTGCCAATACAACAGCGCAGAGAATTCCATTTGCATTTCCTCCAATAGGAATCGAAAAAAAAAACCAAAAGAAGGTGTTGGCATTGAGGTAAACAGGGTTTTATGCCAATGGTTTTGTTCTGGTTTTTGGTGAGTGCGAGCAACAGAAATAAAAGTGTTGCTGCTGCCTTTCCCTAATAATTGTGCTTTTATATCCTTAAGGAATTGAATTACCTTCTTGGTCTGAGAATCGTCTCTTTCTTCTCCGGTTGTTGGTGCTTGGGCGCTGGTAATGTACGTTGTGTCCGTTTCAATTGTTTTTTTTATTTGCAGTTGCAGCTTTTTCACTGAATTACATTGCCTTTTAGCTCATTCAGTCATCAAAAAAAACTTTACTCCATTACCGACAACATTGACTTAATACAACTGAACTAACGCTTTGGCATTGATTTTCTGTTCACTTGAATATTCTCTCACTCTCATACACACACAGAAAGTACGGTAATCGTTGTTTTTATGTCAGGCGCTTGAGAGATGGTCATGCTTCAATCTAAAAATAAATACATGAAAAATGTGATAAATAAGAAAGAAAACTGGGCAGAAATGGAGAAAAATAAAATGAAATTCGATCAAGAGTGCTCGGTATCAAATCACAATCATTTTGTTTTGTTTTTTTTTTTATTTGAAAGGGCATTTGAATATTTAAACGTTTCCTGATTTAAATTAAATTGATCGCTTTGGTGAAGAAAATAAAACAGGCTCGAACCCCGGAAAAATGCAAATTTGTTCCGTTTGACCGTATTCATTTGCATCCTATTACTTTTCCGTACACAATGTGTCAAGGGAAAGTATAGGAATTGGTCCCGAAAACTTTTTTCGCAAAATTGGTTTAGATCATCATAAAAACTCATGAAACGCGTAGAAAACCACTTTTTGAGACACTTTTCCGTTCGTGTGCCGTCGTCGTTGTCGTCGTCGTCGTTGGTGTTTGTTAACACGATAACTCAAAAAATAATTGAGATAATCAAAATCTGGAAATGCCAAAAGTTTTGTATCTAAAACACTTAGTTTAAGTTCGAACATGAGCCATTTTCGATTTGATCCTGGGGTACTTGCCCTAAGAGAAACCTCAAAAAATTGACACTTTTGTATGGGAGGTACCCGTTAATCGATTCTGATTGGCTTTCCGAGGATTCATTTTTTGGAGAAAAAATAAGATTCTGAACCTCAGAAAGTTTAAAGCCAGTAAGAATCGGTTTACGGGTACCTCTCATACAAAATCGTCAAAGTTTTAGTTAAATTGACCGATTTTTCACCTTTTTTTTTCATTTTTATATTTTCACTGCTTTTATTTCAAGAAAATTCAAAAAAAATAACCAAAAGTACATACGGACAACGCAGGCCAACGGTACGGAAAAGTTCGGGATTACCAATGTAATTCTTTTTATTTTGCATATATTTTTGTGGAGGTATCGCTTTGGGAAAAAAATGCGTTCCACTTGAATGTCCTTTGATACGTGAATCACCGTATTTTATCATACGGAAGGATAGAGTGAGAGAACACCTTAGAAAAAACTAAGGCATGAAATAAGAGATAATGCCAACAACATCAACATCTTCATTTGAAGTATGCTTTTGCTCGATTCGCATGGAACTATGCCCGCCCAACACAAGCCACCGAACACAGGCATGGTCAAAACGACCACAACAACGTACACACTCACAAATAATAGAGCGTGAACAATATTCAAAAGGTCAGCTAATTGCGTGGCACGAGTATAACTGGGGCTATATAGTGTCGCCAGCATGCAAACAATTGTCTGTTTAGAATATATGCAAATCAACGTCATCAATGTTATTGGAGGAGCCGAGCGCGCTCAATGCCTGTGACGGCCAATTTGTAGATGGTATTTCATGGTGGACTCTCGTAACCACATCAAGCGGACATAATCGGTGTACTTTCGAAGATTTCCATCCAAACACATACACACTGTCCACAGACCACCATCTTTAATGGCATTTTAACAAATGAATGAAACATGATCACATCTAAACACAAATTGGGGCGAATACATTTCGAAAATTCGGATTTTCATTCAAGGTAACTCAGGCGACAATGTTTTGCAGTGGCCAACAAACCGTAGATATGACAATACCGAATAAATTAGTCGCAATTCTTCGGAGAGAAAATGCGAGCAAGCGGAGGAGAAATTGATCTACAACACCCGGTCCCACTTCTATCTGATGATTAAGATGAGTACTATATGCTGGTATAGTAAATTGAGTCAATTAGTTCACAGTCACACGCAGAGCTTTGCACTTATATTTATGGCGCCAATTGAAACAGGGCTCAAAAGTCTTGAGTGCACAAAAACAAAATGAGTAAACAGCCGCGAAAATTGCGCGCCAACGCAAATAAGTGGACTCAAAAACATGCTGCAGCCTAGAATAGTTTCGTTATTCTTCCGCATTGTGTATTATCACGCAACGGATTCAATCATCCACCCACTCGCAGCTCCAATGACAAAAGCCTTTCGGAGCAAGTTTTCCATGTTGTTCTTTCATTTAACAACATTGGCACCAATTGAAAATCATTTTGACAACTTTTGCGATTAAAATCTTTTATAATCTCATTTTGAGCACAATATTAAAATGGTTGAGAAACTACCATCCTATCCGCGATGAAAATCATATTCACAGCAAATGGCAGACGAACAAATTGTCTACGATTATATGACACACAATTCTGTCTATCAGATATAGAGCGGGAGAGTGTTATTTCAAGGCTCATAAACGAAACACATTGTATGTAGTGTTCTCGTTCGTTGCCAACAATAAAATTAATTCCATAGCAGATAATGGAGATGCTCATTGATTATGACTTTTTCTTGGAAGAAAACATCTTGAGCCATGCTTGCCATGGCAAAATGCAGTAATGACTTGTTTAATTTAATGACACAGCAATCGATGCTCTCTATCTTTCCTTCGAGTAGAAATATAAACACACAGCATATACGACGTTGAATAGCATCGCAATGGTTATACTCACCGTGTACAGTGTACACCGTCTCCCATCAGAGAAAAGTGTATACGGCACATAAATTATGTTAGAAGTGTAATGTGATACAATAATCCATGAAACGAAAACTGAGCTATTGTGCCGTCCAGCAAACGGATTATTTTCGTTTGCTTACCATTTGGACGGCATTTTACCGTCGTCGTCGTCGTCGTCGTCGTCGTCATCATTTATTGACCGCCATTAAGCTGGTTATATACTATTATTTAATATTATTTAATATTTCTCCAAGGCAATAATTTTGTTATTTAATTAGAGTGTGTGTTTGTTGTTGTTGTACCATGTATTTATAGAGTCAGAACCGATTAACAACGAATAAAGGAGACAATTGATCACACTCATTCCGCTCACTTTACGCTTGAAGCATTTTGGTCTATGCTTCGGCGCTTCGGATTTCGAGTGACATTTTTGTGCGTACGGGAAAAAATCTCTTGGAATAATGGATGGAATTCCGATACATTCCAACAAAGACTATAAACGCTTCATTGCACAACCTCTAACGCCTTACAATGTTCCAAACGCTGCTTTTTCCCCATTGTCGGATAAAAATATATGACGGCATTCCTTGCTAACAGACACCGTATTTGATATCACCAAAATGTGATACTTTGTGATGCTAAAAACAAAGTCGAAGTCTTTGTTCTGGCGCTGACAATGTGTGACTGAAAGTGAGAATACGCAGAACTGATTGATTGAAAGTTGTGGATTTGTTAAACCGTTTTGTCTTCTGTATATTTTTGCCATCGAAACGAATAATCCGGTATCGAATATTGATTTAGTATGGAATGACGACGATGACGATAACCGGGGACGAGATAAAAACTGACACACCATCGAAGAAAAAAACATTGCAACTCGAAAATCGATTTCGAACATAAGCACCATTTTTATATGGTAAGAATACGGCTTAAAATGCCCCATCTTAGATTTATCGCCAAAAATATGTTTGACAAAGAAAAACCATTCTGGAGAATACTTGTACACTAAGTTGATGACTGGCTGGTGGGCTTTCTCTCTGTTTTGGAACCATTATTGGTGCCATTTGTTATATAGCCGTCGCACTTTGTCTATCGAATATCTTATTTGTTCGATGTTGTTTGGAGCGCTCGAAATCGCCTGTCAAATCAATTTCAAGTTAAACATTTTTCATTCGTTCTCGATTACATTTACATCCTTTGACACTCTATCTACGCGCTATGAATAATTGAACAAAGGCGTATCGCTTTGCTCAAATGCTTGTAGTCAGATAGCCAGAAATTAAAAAGGGACACAAGTAAATAGAGCGAAGTTAACTCGACGAATTAATCAAAACCAAAAACAGCGTTTGAATTACAGACAATTCAGGTACTTGCTGTTTTATATTTTCTTCGAGCCGATTGTTGTACGTTTTAATTTTATCGTACGACTTACAATCGAATTAAATTATAAAGTTATTCAATTACGGAATTGTTTCATCTTATTAAAAATGCCGTGCGGAAATGAGCTTTTATTTTTAGCCACGATATAGTCGAGTTAAGCTTTTATGCCATGAAATCTTTCGTTTGGCCGCAAATTGTATGAATCGGTGAAGCGAAAATGAGCAAGCGGAAATTATGTTTTCGAAACCAAGTAAAGTGGTTGAGATTTCAAAGTACACACCATAACCACGGCCACCGCAAAATTGCGTTGCACACGCCAAACAACATCACAACTAATTCACAACTTTACCACTTTTATGCTCTGTACATACACAAAAGCTCGATGAGTATTGCTTGTCGGGTCGTATTGGTAATGTGAAAATGGAGACGAAGAGAATTTCATTTTTTTTCTCTGCTCGCCTTCTTCTCTACTATATATTGTTTGGCGCCGTTTCTGTAAATTGACGGTCATTAAATATTTGTTGGTTAAGATGTGTTACAATCAGTGAGAGTGTAAGTGCCTGTATAGGTGTTGGCAAAGTGTTAGCGGCTTTTTTCGTCTCTTCATCTCGCTAATATCTAATGTTGCATCTTCATTCGTTCGTTCCCTTTATTCTATCGTCACTCCGCAAATCCGCTGAGACTTATTTACTTAATTGTGTGTCACTTCGAAATCGTCTTTCTTCATTGCTCTGGGTGCTCTGTATACGCCTCTTGAATCGGAAAAAAACGAAATAAAAAGTTTTTTCAAAGCCTCAAGCACAAAAAAAATGGATACGAAAGGAATGTTTGATTTGATGTTATACAACGAGCGAGAAAGGAAAATCGATTTGCTAGCAAGCTTCTGTAACGTTCAAACGAAACAGATAAAAACACACACATACACAAGCGGCTCTTTTACAGCTTCAGCCCAAACATTGAAGATCAAACATTGTGTTGTTTGCACAAGACATGACACACCAATTGCGAACGGACAGACGAACGAATAGTGCCAAATAGAGAGGTAATGGATATCTTTGTCCACATTTCGCAACGTTTGAGAAAATTGAGACGGAAATTATTTGATGGCAAAGAGAGATGGAGAGAGAAAGGGAGACGAATGAAAGGGAAAAAAATTCAAGTGAATGACTGTGTTCCATAGCGCGCGCCAATGACAAACTTGTGTTGTTATGTAGTTATGTCGTGTCCGTCACTCTCTTTGTGTTTGTCAAGATGACGAATTGAACGTGGGGCTAAAGTTTTTCCAGCAAATATCAATCTTTTCCTTCTAAATACACGACGTTTTAATTCATTCTCGACCCTCGCATTTGTAATAACATTGGCCTGCTATCCACTTTGCTCTTCGTTAAACCCAAAAGGTCAATATAATACATAATTCACTTAAGAACTTTCTCCGCGAACTATGGCTAATTGTCCGACAACATACGTAAGAAGTTTTTCCCTGTGACCGTTTGTTTCGTGCAGATGCATTTAAAATTGTTGTGGGCTGTTATTTTGTGATCTAGGCTATAAAAATAATGCAAATCATTGTTTGCGTCGATAGTATCGGAGTTTTTCCGGTGAAGGACACCAAAAAAAAAAATCAAAACTTATAGGCAAAACGGAATAATGTTAGGACGTGAAATATATGAATAAATGCAAATATTTGTAAGCATAATGTTTGTTTAAGCAACCACCACTACCATTACCAATGCTGGAAAGCTTAGCATTCGATAACCGAGAACAGCCATTGATTGCGAGGGATCTCTCAATTGGTAACATCCGGAATAAGTCAAACTATTATGTAAATTTCAACATGTCAAAACATATTTGAACAAGGCGATTCACATGGGTATGTTACATGCTTATCATGTATCGTTGCGTACGGGCAAGAGCAAATTTTTGTGCGATGATAAAATGTAGTGGTGAACAAGAAGCGTGGTGTACTTTTACGTACACCACCACAGGATGAACTGGATGGTATGAGAGCGATAAATGGATAGAAAAAAAGGGAAAGAACCAGCCTTAGTTAATTGCTTATTAATGGCTTTCCTTTCTGTTCCAAGGCACACGCAGTATACACATGGTTGACCATTTTGAGATCTGAATGGAAAAACATGTTAAGTCTCTCTAGCCATTTGCGAGTCGAACACACTACTGACGGCCACCATAGTTCATCGACCAAAAAGGAGCAACACCAAACCTTTTGTCATCAACCACATGCACAGGAACACACAAACAACATGTTATACACACACACACACGCGAAATGAAAGGCAAAGAAAATCAATTACTGCTTTTGCTATTTTCATTTTAATCTGAAAACATCCAAAGCACCAGCAACACGCTCCCGGGAACACGGTACACAACTGATTAATCGTAATTATTTTCAATGAAGATTAGCTTGTGTATTCTGGACGGTCATAATGCTGGCTGACTGACTGGCTGGTTGAGTGAAACCAACAATTTTTAACGGTTCGCTGCGCTTTCATTTGCAATTTCCATTTAGTATCCATTTTTGCGGAGGAGCAAAAAAAAGGGAAATGGCTTTTGAGATAGCAGAGCATTGTCTATTGTCAGTCAACCGTTATTTAAGTCGAAACCATATTTCAATTTGCTTTCAGTACAACTGGAAGCAGTGACGCCAATGATGATTATTTCTCTTCACTCTTTCTCTTGTCAGCCTGAATTCTAAATCAAGCACGAACTCATGACAACCACATGAGGTGTACACTTTGTTTCTTTTCTCGACTTTCTCGTTTATTTTTCTTATCACATGACTATGAACAATTTTTTTCGCTTATTTACTCAGGCATCATCATTAAGTGCATGCATTACAAGGACTTTCATTTGATTTTCAGGAAATTAACTCCATTCAACTGCAGAAATACTTAGTTCCATTGTTACTAACAATTGTTCTTGTGTTAAATTAATGAACACTCTTCCATCAAATTTTATTCTCACATTTGATTCATCAAATTCTATATGATTTTCCTTTATCTATTTCTTTCAAGCAAGCAAATTCAACACCCGAGGTAAATTTCCTTCCATGATATACATAAAATTCTTGTTCAATTACATTCAATCAACGAGAAAATTTGATAAAAATTTCAGTAGAGTAAAAAAGGGGGAAAATCCAAATTCAATAACAAAACCATTCACAAAATCCAATAGATAGATATGAATGCGACCCGTGCAATACACACAACGTATTCGAAACACACAAATGCACACGCATAAGATTTCATTCGTTGTTTATTCTGCTTACAATGAATGGAGAAACACAGGCTCTGCTGGAACTGTATTTTATATCACTGCTGCGATGAAATCACCGTTCGACTTGTTTCTTTTTCTTTCGTACACACTATATTCCAATTGGTTTTGCTATTTTACGCTTATTTATTTTGTTGTTTATTTTATTTTATTTTTCTATTTTTCTATTGCATAAAACACACACTAAAACGATAAGACTGATTTTTCAACGAAGCACTCAGTTAGATTGAAGGACAGAATTACATACACAAGGAATTCTAAATTTTTTGTTCAATTTTTTTGTTTGAAATGAATTTTTTTCTCTATGCGATGGAAATGGTTTGTGTTTCGACCGGCGCCATTTTCTATAAAACATACACTAGATGAAAATTCCTTTCTCAACTTCCACCAAGCTCTTGTGTGGAAACATGAAAATATGGATATGACTGGTTGTTCTCTTTTTTCGCATATACGGTTGTTTCGTTCGTATGGGTTATATGCCATCTCGTTGGCGCTCCGTTCATTCATTTGGTTGTCAATGAAAAATGGTGGAGGTTGGAGAAAGAGCATTCTATAGCACAAAGCTCTCGGTGCGCTTACAAGCTTTCCACATGTAGAAGAAAAAAAGTGGAAAGAGGCGATATAATGATAACAAAGTTGGATTGATTTCAGATGAATCACAATCAAACTGGGAAAAGACACTCGCAACAAGTTTCAAATGAGCAATCAATCTATTAGATTCATCAAATGTTTCCCAATAATCAACGAATGGTTCACATTTTCCATTAAATTTTCCATCATTTTCCCAAACATTTCGTGAGAAAAAAAAGTTGAAACCTTAGCTTGAATCTCATGCAACATGTTTGGGTTAAATGGAGTTTGTATGTGTGTCAACACCAAATCAATACCGGGTGATTTGTAATTTGACCGCTAGATCGGCGCCACTGCCAAACCATGCCCATCACATACACACAGAGAGAGCGACAATAAATTGACAGCGAAACACGTAAACTATTCACAGCTCGGTGTCATCGCAGAACAAACCACGGAACAGCAGAGGAAATTGTATTAAAAATATTTTTGTGTTAGATTTGTTTTCTTCCATTGAATTCAATTTCAATCAAATCAATCGTAAGTATTCCGATTGAATGTATCAAAATTAATTGAAACAATTTTAATTGGTGATAAAATAAATCGTGTAATCGAAGGCAAAAAAAAAATCGGTCGACAATGACAAGCCGTATGCAATGCAGTAGAAGAATGGTGAAAAAAGTGAATTTTGTAATTCCATTGGCCAGCAAAAAAAAGTAACACCGATAAAATGGCAACAACGACAAAAAATTAGCAAAATCGTTGTTGCTTTTTTTCTCGTGCAATCACCGTTGTTATCGGTTTGGTGTTTCAATTGGGTGGTGTCTTTAATCATCTTTTCGTTTTTAGGAAGTTGGAAATTATTCAATTCAAGTGAATGAAGCAAAGAGATGGAAGTGATTGATGCAAATGTAATGGTATTGGTGTGTCAATGCGATGTGTGTGTGTGTGTATGGCTGTGTGAGTGATAGCTTGTACACAGGCGCTGCCTCTATGCCTTTATGTTTTGAGACAGGCATTGTTTATCGAGAGTGAGAAAAAAACGACGTCGCTGTGATATCGTTATCCGACTCAGTGAGCGCTGTACAAGTGTTTTGTTTGAAGGAAAATCGACTACCATAATCAAAAAAAATGTCGACTTTGTAATTTTAATCGATTCCAATTTTTCACTATTTAAATTGTTTAAGTTTTCTTTACGTTTGAGTTCCAAATTTCGGCAAAGTCATTGGATATTCGTTTTTATCGCAGACACATTATGTTTTGTTTACGCGCAATGGGTTCGACGCTGTTGAATTCCATTGGGCTGATAAACTGCGTTCTATGTGAATTCGAAATTGTTCGACGATAAGAAAAATATACGGATGACACCCCTTTTTTATTTATTTTAAAGCGATTGGACCGCATTTTTTCAGTAGTTTTTAGTTCGTTGATCGATGTCAATTTCGTTGAATTCTATCTATTTGTGTTAAGCTATAATTAGGCCTAATGATAGTTTTAAAGAATCCTTTTGCTTGCACATTTATTTTTAGCCTTTATAACATCGATACATTTGCACACAAGAGAATCGAAAACAAAATGACGGACTCAAAATACTTTACAACCACCAAAAAAGGTGAAATTTTCGAATTGAAATCCGAGCTGAACAGCGATAAAAAGGAGAAGAAAAAGGAGGCCGTCAAAAAGGTGAGGGAATGTGAAAAGGGAGCACAAAAAAAATCGATTGATAGAGTGTTGTTGTTCATTGACATTTCATTTCATTTTTCATGTGTGTGTTCCTGAAACGTCAGGTAATTGCGAGCATGACAGTCGGCAAGGATGTATCGGCTCTATTTCCCGATGTCGTCAACTGTATGCAAACCGATAATTTGGAGTTGAAAAAATTGGTTTACCTGTATCTGATGAATTATGCGAAATCTCAACCCGATATGGCTATCATGGCGGTCAACACATTTGTTAAGGTTAGTTTGTATCCAAGAAAGGAAAAGTCTTGGCTTTTAGCCAAACATTTTTCTTTTCTCTTTTTTCTCTCTTTCTCTTTACTCTCGTTTTTATATAAATCACTTTCGTCTCGACAAAATCACTTTTTTTTCTACTTTGAACTTAGTTCGATTGTTCTTTTTTATTCCAAGATTTCCGTTTTATTTAACCGATATTTTATTTTTACTCTCTCTTGATAAAAAAAACGCTCCCTGTTGATATTTGCCTCTCGTAATTGTTGACTAATCGATTCATTTTGATTTAATGACCGAAACGCCGTTTGCTAAACTGTAGAATCCAATGGGGAATAACAATAACAACAACAACAAAAAATTATTCATAACTCCATTGTTTTGAGCGCATTTTCGATTTTAACTATTTTGAGCACGTAACGGTAACATTTGATTATTAGATAAAACTAAAGCAGTGTCAAGCAATCGAAATGAGAATGACACGCACGAAACGGACGAAATCTTTTTCGAATTTTTGTGTATTTTACACGTACATTTTTTTTTATTTTTTTTTAAATTCTACTATTGTTTTTATAACTACAAAAAAATGCTATTTGATTTGCGAATTGAGATTAAAACTAAAATAATTTATTTATATACAAAATAAAAGGATCTGCCCTCTTCGCAACTTATTAAGGTAAACCGTAAATTTCCTATTTTTTAAACACACACATTCTTTTGTTCTGTGATGATCCGTTGTAATTCCAAGTTAAAAATTTTTTACATAATTTTCTTTTGTTCTATTTTTCTTTTGGTATGCCGACATGAGCGCAACTGTAACCAAAATTATCATCATTTTTTTTTCTATCTCTATCTCTCAAATAGCGATGTTTGCAAATGAAAAACCAAATTTTCTGAACCTGAACATGAAAGTATTATTTGTTTTTCCTTTTTGTTTCTCAAACACGTTTTGACAATGGAAGTTGAAATCAAACCAAGAAAGTTGAGTAGAGGTCATATCATTTCATTTTGCTGAACATTTTTTTCTGTTTTGTTCCTTCATTAAATGCGAAAAAAAATCGATGCGTACATAAAATTTGTTGTCATTGCTAAAGCGATCTGCCTCGCTGTTGAGATCATTTGGGTTGCTGTTCTTTTTGTGTGTTTTATTCGCCATCTTCATTCATTCGCTACATTTTGTTGTTTATTGAATGTTTGTTTTAGTGCAAATCAAAACTAAAGTAGATAACAAAAAAATCAACCGTTTCATTTTTTTGTTTAGCTGTTTTGAATAAAAATGCGTTGTTCGTCGTATGTAATGTTTCGTGCAGATAAAATGCTAGAAGGGTGATTCATAAAATCGCTTGCAATTCTGCCTTTGTTTAATTGTTTTTTCGCTAAAAGATAAGCAATTTTCATGAATTTGTGGGTTTTTTCTGTTTCTATCTCTTGTTCAACAGGATTGCGAAGATTCAAATCCGTTGATTAGAGCGTTGGCAGTTCGTACCATGGGTTGTATTCGGGTGGATAAGATAACGGAATACTTGTGTGAACCGTTACGAAAGTGTCTACGCGACGATGATCCATATGTGCGCAAAACGGCTGCGGTTTGCGTTGCAAAACTCTACGATATTTCATCGTCAATGGTAAAGAAAACGGCCGAACTAATTTTTATTTGAAAAAATCTTGACAAAAGGGTTGTGCTGAGCTAATTTTCTAATTTCGTGTGCATTTTAGGTCGAAGACCAAGGTTTTCTTGATCAATTGAAAGATTTGTTGTCCGATTCGAATCCAATGGTTGTCGCAAATGCGGTAGCAGCTCTCAGCGAGATCAATGAAGCCAGCCAATCCGGGCATCCACTTGTCGAAATGAATTCGCCAACCATCAATAAGCTCTTGACCGCTTTGAATGAATGCACCGAATGGGGACAGGTGTTCATTTTGGACTCACTGTCAAACTACAGTCCAAAAGATGAACGTGAGGCTCAATCGATTTGCGAACGAATCACACCACGTTTGGCCCACGCAAATGCGGCTGTTGTACTAAGCGCCGTCAAAGTTCTCATGAAACTTTTGGAAATGTTGTCGAGCGACAGTGATTTCTGTGCAACGCTCACCAAAAAACTCGCACCACCATTGGTCACGCTGTTGTCATCCGAACCGGAAGTCCAGTATGTGGCTTTGCGTAACATCAATTTGATCGTTCAGAAGCGTCCCGACATCCTAAAGCACGAAATGAAAGTATTCTTTGTGAAATACAACGATCCAATCTACGTGAAGCTGGAGAAATTGGATATCATGATTCGTTTGGCCAATCAGAGTAATATAGCCCAAGTGTTGAGCGAATTGAAGGAGTATGCAACGGAGGTTGATGTTGATTTTGTGCGTAAGGCGGTGCGTGCGATCGGCAGATGTGCCATCAAAGTTGAACCATCGGCTGAGCGATGCGTTTCGACTCTTTTGGATTTGATTCAAACGAAAGTTAACTACGTGGTTCAAGAAGCCATTGTTGTTATCAAAGATATTTTCCGTAAATATCCAAACAAATACGAGAGCATCATCAGTACATTGTGTGAGAATTTGGACACTTTGGACGAACCAGAAGCGCGTGCGTCAATGGTTTGGATCATCGGTGAATATGCCGAACGTATCGATAATGCTGACGAATTGCTGGATGGTTTCTTGGAGGGCTTCCAAGATGAAAATGCTCAAGTGCAACTGCAACTGCTCACAGCTGTGGTGAAATTATTCTTGAAACGACCATCGGACACACAAGAACTTGTTCAACACGTTTTGTCATTGGCCACACAAGATTCTGATAATCCAGATTTGCGTGACCGTGGTTTTATCTACTGGCGTTTGCTTTCCACCGATCCGGCTGCTGCCAAAGAAGTGGTGCTCGCCGACAAGCCACTTATTTCGGAGGAAACGGATTTGCTTGAGCCAACACTTTTGGACGAACTCATCTGTCATATCAGTTCATTGGCTAGTGTGTATCATAAACCGCCCACAGCATTTGTCGAGGGTCGCACGGCTGGCATTCGTAAATCATTGCCGAATCGTTCGGTCGCTGCAGCATCCGGCGAAAATGAATCCACATCAAACGAACCCACTGTCATTCCAAACCAAGAATCTCTCATCGGTGATCTATTATCAATGGATATTAACGCACCTGCTGCACCTATAGCTGCTGCACCAACAAGTACTATCGATTTACTGGGCGGTGGTTTGGATGTTTTGGTGAGTTGTTTAAACAAAGTCTTATTTTTAAAAAAAATACCGATTAGTTTTATTATTGTGAATGTCATTTCTTTCTCTACTCTAGTTGGGAGTCAGTGCAGCACCTTCAGCTGATGCTGGCGTCGCCGGTGGTTCAGGTCTATTGGGTGACATATTTGGTCTATCAGCCGCCCCGCCAACGACTGTCGTCATTCCAAAAACTGTGTGGTTGCCGGCTGAAAAGGGCAAAGGTCTGGAAGTTCAAGGCACATTTTCCCGGCGCAACGGTCAGGTTTCAATGGATCTGGTATTCACGAACAAAGCAATGCAAGCAATGACTGGCTTTGCAATTCAGCTAAACAAAAACAGTTTTGGATTGGTTCCAAGTGCACCGATACAGGTTGGCGCACTGCAACCAGCACAAACCATTGAAGCTTCACTCATACTCAACACAACCGGTCCAGTTCAGCGAATGGAACCGTTGAACAATTTACAGGTAAAGTTCAACTCTTTTATTGGGAGGGAGTTGGTGTAAAAGGAGGAAAGTATTGAGGAAACACGTTCAATTTTTATTTTCAGGTGGCTGTCAAAAATAACGTGGACATATTCTACTTTGCTTGTTTGGTGCATGCCAACTCACTGTTTCAAGAGGATGGTCAACTTGATAAGCGTCTTTTCTTGACAACATGGAAGGAAATTCCGGCTGCTAATGAAGTACAATACAACCTGAACGGTATTGTTGGTTCGGCCGATGCAATCTCGTCAAAAATGACAGCAAACAACATTTTCACAATCGCCAAGCGTAATGTTGAAGGTCAAGACATGCTGTATCAATCGCTGAAATTATCGAATAACATTTGGGTTTTGCTTGAATTGAAACTACAACCAAACAATCCAGATGCAACGCTCAGTCTGAAATCACGTTCCGTTGAAGTAGCTACAATGGTATTCGCAGCCTATGAAGCAATCATGCGATCTGTCTAAAATGTCAAATCTATTCCATTAATTGATAATGTCCGAGTAAAACAAAACAAAAAAATCTTCGGTTATGCAACGGAAAAACACATTCATCCATACACACTGTGTTTATTGTATTCGTATGATTATTTAGATATATATATATATATTAATTGTTACATTATTCATATGGATAAGCTAAATGACATTTTCTTCAATGCGTATAAATATACATCAAATGCCGATCAGTAGTGTTATTAACTCCACCCCATTGGCTGATGTCTTAAATGCTACCGCGAATAGTTCGAAATCGAATAAGTGGAAATAGAAGCACGAAACGGATTTCTAGAGAAATTAAGAAAAAAAAATAACACTATGTTTCGCCGACGCAATCAATAAGACCAATTATAACAATTCTGTTGGGAATAGAAATAAAACATACAATAATTCTAATTCGAAATACAAAAAAGCGCGTTCTCTTTTCTATTGATTTCGTAGTAGGTAGAAATTTTATTTTATTTTCAGCTCTATAACACTTCATTTGTCAATAATACAATTAATTGGCTTTATTCATTGGAATTCGGCTGCTACGTCTTGTAAACTGTTTAGCTGATGTTGATGGTTGTACGTCTCCGGAATTGTCACACTCTGACCTTTTCCTTGTTCTCGCTGCGATCGAACTATCTCCTGGTTTCATGTTCGGTTCAGCAAACGACTCACCCGAAGGCGTATTGAATTGATCCATTGTAGCGGCCAATAAACGTTTGGCTGATTTAAGTCCATGAATCTCCATTTTTTGCTCCACAATCTTCGCTTGCTTTCGGGCTCGTTGTTTCAACTTTTTGTGCTTTTTGCTTTGATTACCCCTCATTTTAAATCGATGCTCCTGTGCCCGTTTTCTTGATTGTGTGCTCTTAATAATGCCACTCGTATCATCCTTTGGGCAAATCTTTGACATTATTATTGCTCCCGGTGCTCTCGTTGGTGTCATTCGTTCGTCACGCGGCGGTTTCACATTATTTTCTCTTAAGTAGTCACTATGCGGAAAGGCACACGGTAATATTTTGTAGTTTTTATGGATTTCAATTGAAATGTTGTCATCAATGGGCTGCCAATCCACTTTGTCAAGTAGATTTTTCTCCAATATTGGGGCATTTGTTGCACTCTTGATTATTTGCGAAATACCAACCGATCCGGTGCTGGAATGAAAACATTGATTTGGTTTTCGAATCATTATAGACATTTTATTGATTCAACTTTTCAAATACTATGATGTAAACTCACCTATTCGTTTTCTCAAAGATTTTTATGGAATCCAGATGCTTTGAATCACTTTGCAAAAGATAGTCGCCGGGTGGAAAATCATTGAACGTTTGCAATGCATGCCAAAGACGTTGAAGAAGCTGCTGTCTTTCGATACCGTAATTCGTTCTTAGTTCATTCTCAACTTCGAACGATGTAATCGTTTGATGATGTATCACTTTTCCGGTTATGCAATCGAAACGGACTGGAAGGAAGAGAAAAATGAAAACCGAAATGTGGATTCAGTCGCAAATACACAGCAAAAAATGGTTTCTTTAGGGTAAAAATAAACTTTGAAACAGACTAAGCAGGTAAAGGTTACTTTCGAAACTGAAAAAAACTTACCTCTTTCCGTGCTTGTATTTGGTCGAAAATACAGTTCACACCATTCAGAAATCAGTTCATCCTTCCTCATCACCTCGACTCCGTATTCAGCTTGAAATTCGATTTTTGGTGACCAATTAATGAATTTGATCTCACCATTGCTATCTTTCTTGTAAGCCGCTTGCTTTGTCGGCACTAAAATTTTAAACGATTCATTTATGTCATCGGCGCTATTGTATCCCTTCACATCGAAAATCGTAAATGTCATATTTCCATAAGAATCTTCGCCTCTCGCATGGTTTCGAATAAATTCATCACAATTTGATACTTTATACTCTATCGCCGTACTTGTATTAGAATCACATTCAATAGCCTGTGTGCTAGTTCTGCTTTCGATTTTCTCGTTGTGATTGTATACGTACAATGCGTTTGCATTAAAGCAACTGTGCAGCAAATATTTGGCGCCCTTTTTGTATCGGTCATTTCCACTGAGATACGCCGGTGGCAATGGTTTTTCACAGATAATTTCCTTTTTCGGATTGAAAACCGTGCTCAAGGCAGACTCTTTCACTGTCATGCAGAATGACCAACCAGTTTTCGAGCCTAAAATACATTTCAAAATCGAAATCGGTATGACAAAATCAACTTTGTGCTGTTGAACTAAGTCCTTTACTTTTCCTTTGATCGCAGGCAATTGATGTGTATTTTTTCGCATATTGTGGGCTTTCATTAGATTTGGAAATGATTGCCTGAGATACTCTAAATTATCCCTAGACATTTGCGGTACGCATCCTAAATGCTCTTGATGAACTGCGTTGGTTGTCACGACACATTCAGATGGTTGCAATAAAATCGCCGTCTTCAAACTGAACCTGGCATTCACAAATTGTCGATGCATCATAACCAATTGTTCCTTCCAATTTTGAGTGACAAAATATTCAATGGACGGCGGAACATTGTGAAATCGGTTGGGAACTTCAGCAAAAAAGCGCTCACGCAATTTCTCTAGAAATGCCTTCTTTTCTTCGGACCGGAGAACGGCTGTTGCATTGAATAGCAAACGATCTTTTTTCTCCTCATTCGACAGTTCAGTCTCTGGTTTTGGTAAACGAGCAAGCGCATTCAAACATGTCAAATGCTCGTGCCGCTGTAAATTTGAGACTTGAATGTATTTTGTTAAAAAAATATTCCGTGTTTTCAAGTCGATATTTTTGTAGTTGCACACATGCGATGGAATTTCAATCCCAGTTCGTGGATCAATGAATTGTCTTGGTGTCAACTCCCCTTCTCCTGAAGACTCATTTTGATTTTGATTTTCATGTTGCAAATGCAATGGATCAATGTTCATGAGATTGCAGAAAAACACATCCGTCGGATTTCTCTGTTGAAATTCAGGCATATTCAATGCGTATGTTTGATGCAAATCAGTTCCAAAATCCGATGACGGCCTAGAAAATAATGAATGATAAAAATTACACTTATTTGAAAATAAATCAATTTTATTTCGAAGACAATCCAAATCTTCTGAACTACTTACCAAGGCAAACGTCTGAATTCATCCATTTTTCACCGGAATCACGAAGAAAAGCAACTAGAAATCGTTTAAAATTGTTATTATTGTTTTGTTTACATTGTTTTTTGCTTGAAACGTCAAGCACGTGCATCGTGAATTGTTTTTCCTTTGACACTTCGCCTGTGTCAAATGTGACAGTTGCTGTCAAATTAGTTCGTTGATTTTTGATCCGGTTTAAAATAATATTCAAACCAAATAGATTTTTTTAAAAATCACATTTTTCCATTCAATATTTCTGGGTTTGTTTTGCTATTTGAATGACCAAAGAATGAAAATTGCCAAAAAAAAATTCTGTACATGGTTTTCATTTTGAGTAGCTTGTTTTGTTGTAAATTGTGTTTTTCTCTTGTGTGATCGCATCATTTTTTGAGTGATGAAAAAGGTAATCCAAATTTTTTACCCTTAAAAAAATCCGTCTGCAGAGTTTTCACTCTGTCATTCAAGTTCAAATATGTCGATGGTCTAAAAATGGCAGAAGAAAGAAAAAAATGCTTTGTACATATTCCAATAAACTTTATTTTAAGTTGATACTGAATACAATGTTGTTTTGAATGTTAAACAAATAATGTGTGTTTTTGTGAAAATACTATTGATGCCAGTAACAGTGTGTGTGTGTGTGACTATGTATAAAATTGTGAAAGTGTGTGTGAAATTGAAGAATATTTCAATAGATTCGATTTAAAAAAAAAACCTCTTCCTTTCACATATCCCAGAATGAATATATGTAGACAATAATGATTTAAAAATATATGTTTAACCAGACAATTTCATTTGTGACTGATGCCAAACTTTCTGCAACACAAAACACAAAATTAAGATAGCATCATTCTTAAAACAATGGACAACTGATTAATTAATACTTTGTTAAATTTAGTGTGGTTCCAACAAAAAAACAGGTGACAAAGCTCATAGCAAAGCAAAGTTAAAAGGGAAAAAAATATCACTTGTAACCAATTGAAAATTGTACAAAAAAATATTAACAGATATGGACAACGTTTACCCTTTTAGTTACTTATTTCATATATCTGAAATATTCCTTCCTTAAATATATTTATATATACAGAAGCATTATTCTGTTTTATTTTATGCACCATTAAATTGTTAGGATATCGTGTGACAAATGTCTGTAGAACGATATGAGCCATTTAAAATCGGCTCTAAGTTCAATATATTTTATACAGCCGTATTTTCGGAAATGAGCTGATATATTATGTTGCAATCAATTGTATTAATCCAGAGAATTATAATGTGTTGCGAAGAATTCAAAGCTATTGAATTGTCGGTTGGTGGTCCTCGGTGTATGTTAAAAATTGGTACTCAATGCGTGAGCAGTGCAGTATTTAATTTAAAAATAATTAAAAATAAATGAAAAATAATACAGCATTTGTTCGTTTTTTGAATAATTTGAAACGATTGGTAAATTAGAAAAAAGCAGACCATTCATTAAGAATTCTTGAATTCAGATTCTAAAATGCTTTAAATAAGTGGCGTTTTTTTTGTTTTGCTTCTTCAAAAAAATGAATTCGAGACACAATGAGTGTTTTTTCTAGAAAAATGCAAAATTCAACAAGTGATAAAATTGTAGCATTCAATTTGGTAGACAAAATCTCTTTATGTATCGACAAATTTCACTCGGCAAAAGCCAATTCTTTCTTTTTCATTCTTTTTTATAATATCTATAAAAAAAACACGTGTATGCAATGCAAATAAAGGCATATCTGTGTTGATATTGTTGATAAGAACAAATTTTTCATTTAGGCCACTTATTGAGCGGATATTTAAGCGAATGCGTATAAAGGAAAATTATTATAAAAAAATGTTGTTTGACACACACAAATTTATCCTCATCGAACCTCTGCTTAATAAATAGGCTGATTGAGGAGCTTGTAAGAAAAATAATTTCTAAAAGAATGCAAAAAGATTCCAGTCCAATTAAATTTGTTCATTTGTTATTTAAATATCAGTGAGCTATCTGTTTTTTTTTTGCTGTTTTCAATGGCCAACGAAGATGTTTGCCAAAGATATTTGAAATTATGCAACTTGTTCAGCATTTTGAATCGACAGTTGTTTCTAAAAGCTCGGCCAAACGCGAAATACACACACGATTACCTTCGTACGCCTCTTTTGAAAGCTAAATAGAAAGGAACAGAACGGTAAAAAGGAAAAATTATTCAAACTTCATTGATGAGAATGATTTTAATTCCAAAGGAAGTTGGGCTTACTTTAACAAAGCTTAAGAAGCCGTGTGGTAGTCCGGGCAAGACATCTAACTCAGTTGGGATGCCAAGTGCTTTCAGTTTCTTGGCCATCATAATGCAATCATCAAGGCATGGATCCATGTCGACAGTCTGTGTGAAAGATAAAAAGACAGCCGTTTGTTCAAATCAAATGTTCGAAGTTATTTACATCATTTATTAATAAAAAGAAAGAATAAATCACATTCTTACCAAAATTTTCATGGATGGCAATTGGCTGAGCATTTCATTGCTAGCATAATATGGTGATAGGAATGGATCCTTTGGAACGTCGAATAGATAATCATCGGCTGGATTGCGTTCGGTCAATGAATTCAATCGGCTTCTGGTGAATCCTAAACCATTAACACTGCCTGGTATACCGTTTCGAATGACCGTTGGCGATGTGATTGCATTGAATGTGCTCGCCACTGAGTTGGCCGCTGTTTCGACTGCTTTGTAAATTTTCGTCGGAATATTTTGCATATTTAATGCCTCGCGCCCCTCTTCAAACAGCACATTCTCTTCGGATCGTGTTCGTGGCGCTGCTGTTTTATTCAGATCTTCTTTGCCGTATTTTTCCACAAAATCGGCCACAAAATTGGTTGATCCATTATTTTGCGGTTCGGTGGAATCCATTTCAACCAATGATGACGATGTGGAATTTCGTCGTTCGTTTGTCGTGTCCGCTGCATTCAAATCTAAATTACATATGTCATACGCACTATTCTTATCGTTCACTGGCTTGTGCAGTGTAATCGGTTGTGAATCTTCTTCAAATGAGATTGCATTGCTTTCGTCCGGTGTCATCATTTCTGTGTTGCCACCAGTTTGACTGTTTTGCAATGATGCGCTGGCAAATGTGTCGCTAGTGCCATCACTCACCGGACTCTTGTTATTCGCTTCATAATTTGGATCATGTTCATGTTCGATGTGCTCCCACGTCGATCCGCCATCGATTGATATCGATGCATCGGTTTGTTTATCATTTGCTTGTTCATTATCTTGGCTTTCCGATCCGATATGAACAAATGTCGGTATATCGGCCGATTCCGCTTCAGACATTAATACAATCACAGCTGATGTCGTCGACACCGACGAATCATTGGGCACCTCTTTTTTATCGTCTTTTTCATTGCGTAAATCGATTCGTTTTTTATCGTTTGGTGTCATAAATTGATCCTTGCCCGGGTGCACGTATGCCTTTAAACATCCCATCAAAAATCCAAACGGCAACAGAACATCCATTAAACACAAGAATCGTGCTGGGCTTGGAGCAAAGCCCAACCGCATCGGACAATAAATAAGAAATACACCATCGGGACGTCGTACTTTCTGATCAATACATTTCAACGTGAGTGCCATGTTTAAATTGGCGCCAGCTGAATCTCCCACCACGACTATCTTTTCAGCGGTGGTTCCTAGGAGTTTGGCATTTTTAATTGCCCAACAATATGCATAGAACACTTCTTCTAATGCACGTGGGTATGGCGCCTGTGGAGCGAGACTGTAATCGATTGATAAGATTGGCACGTGCAACCTTGCTGCCCATTCTCGCAAATACACTTCATGTGATTTTGAACTCTGCGCAACAAATCCACCGCCGTGGCAATGGAATATGAGGCTTTTCGATGGTGCGTGCATGTGTTTCTTATTACGTTCACCAATCATGCCCTCGCGACGAACACTCGACAACAATCGCGCTGTCACTGGTCCAACTCCCAAGTGGCTTGACGGAACAGGAATTTTAACCATTGTATTCGCAACTGCTACACTCTCTAGTTCAAGCGGTTCAGGTGGTATCGTTATCAATCGATTCACTTTAATTTTTACGCCAAACACATTGGGCAGTGCATACATGAGTTCACCTTCAGTGAGCGACCAAAACGATTTACAAAAATCAATACCAGCATTCTGACTCAAATTCACAATCCGTCTGGCTCTCAGCTCAGGGTTCCAATAGTATTTGCCTCCAGTATACATCGAACTAGTCGCTTTCATAATTCGATTGCCGTTATTGTTATAGTACACTTCGGAAAAGCCAGCCAAACAAATGCCCAAGAATTTCACCACCGACTGCATTGATTCACAATACTGAAACGGATGACAAATAACATTTAATCAATTCGTCGTGAAGCAATTTTAAATTGATCAACTCGTTAGTTTTTGAAAGATAGAAGTTTGCATTAACTCACATGAAAGCCAATACATCGTCCGTAGAAAGAATACTGATTCACTGCTGCGCTCGTATTGAATAGGCCAATTGCTTTATGGTCACCAGGTGGGAAGAGTGATCCATATTCACTACCCTGTCGGATAATCATTATTTGTTCTAGGCAACTGCATAAACTAGCTAACAAATGGCTGCATGCTTCGATTTCCCTGCGAGAATGGAAAAGAACACATGAATTTTATCTATCCAGCAAACAATTAGAATCATGTCAGAATACGAACAGGTGTGTGTGTAGGCGGCCAAAAACAAGTGGCCCCAATCAAATATTCAAACAATCAAAACATTGTGTGCAATCAGTTTATGTCGAGAAAAAAAACAACAACAAGATAAACGCTTGATTGAAAAAAAGAACACTTACTTCATATACATATTTTTCCGGAATAATAAATAGCTACGATTCTGTGCTATATATTTGGAGACCTTCACACTGTGATTGATGCATGCCTGAATTGTTTTCACAAAGCTCCGATAACCATTGGCTGGTGTGTTTTCATCGAAATCGTACTCGTGTACGAATGTTATTATTTTGGCAACAAATGGCCGGGCAATCGCAATATGATCGATTATGCCACGAAATGCGCATAAAAATCGTTGCCCTGTCTCACTGTCGTCGCATTCAAAGTATTTTACGTTGTTTAGGCAAATGTCAACGAGAGCGTCATACATGGCAAACGAATGTGTTGCTGCCGTTGTCGTCGTCGCCTTCGCCGTTGTCGATTGATTTGTGTTGTTACCCGCTTCATCTTCACCGCTCACCGAAAATTCGTCGGTGTCCAGCGATAAATGGGTAAAACTTGAACTCATCGTCATCGTTGAATCGACCATTTGGGCCGGTTCATCCTTGGGCAGCGACTGTAACTTTTGGTCAATCATTTTCAATGCGATGATAATGACGTACACAATATTCACCTCTTTAAACACATAAACACACACAAGTCTTCCTTAATATTACGACGAAAGGGTATACGTAGTTGTTCCGCGTTGTTCTCTTCTTTGTCCACCTCTTTTCTATTTCCAGTTGTTGTTCGTAGATGTAATTTTAATTAAATTAAAGATGGTTTGATTTGTTTGTGTACTCTGTGTGCCTATCGCACGTCGATTGACAAATAAAAATAATTGAATTGTGCTTATGCATTCACGATGAAGCTGTTAAGTGTATATAGCTTGGGTAAAAATTCCATCCATTCAATGGTACATACAGTCTACACATTGTACGTGTTCTCGTTTCTCGTTTCTCCCGTTGCGCTATTATGCGAGAATAACTCGCAATTTATTTATTTATTTTTTTCTGCTGCTGCTGCCTTGGGTTTTTGTTCACTTTACTTGATCAAAAGTCATGCGGAAAAGAAACGGGAACTGGGCTCTGTCTCTGTTTACACATGAAAATGCCAATGTAGCATATCTGCTGAATCGGTTGCTGCTATCGCTGTTGCTGCCACTCTCAATGCACTGAATACAATTATGCTCTCTGTGTTGTTGTTTATTCTTTTTTTTTCCCTGTCCGTGTGTGTCTTTCCCTCTCTCCACCTTTGTGGCACTAAATATTTGACGAGCTAACGAAGGTTGAGCACACAGAGCGAATATAAGCGCCGTTCATTATTGAAGATAAAAATCAAAGAGAAATTTACAAAATCTAATCGATATTTCCATTGACTTGCAACTCAATTTTACTGTTGGAATTTAATCGCATCGTCGATACGACACAAACTGTGCACTAATTTGGAATATTCGCTTGGATTTCTGCATTTATTTTTCTCCGATGTGTATATATACTCGTATTTTCTTGTTTTTACGTTGACATCAATAAGTAGAACGAGTTAAGTGATTGCACTGCTTTCAATCTACGCGTCCATTATGTATTATACACGTTTTGTTGTTGTTGTTGCCGTTTCTTCAGTGCCACTCTGAACTCACTTCCCAATTGTGCAAGCGAACAAATAAATGAACATATCACTACCGATGTCGATACACAACTGCGAACAAAGATTCATAAACATCCAGCATATATAAAATTCAATGGTTTGCCTTAGTCTTATTGGTGCTCATTAAAAATTGCGCATCTATTTCATGTAAATTATATCCAGCCAAATCTTTTGTTTCGGCAACAGTGAATTGTTGCGGTGGCGGCACACGAGAATGAAGCTGTGATATCGAAAATAATCCAAATCATGACATGACAATCCGATTTTTTTGTCTCTTTGTCTTCTTCTTCTCTGACTATTGAGAGCAAATCTGCCACTTATATTCTTCGGTACATAACAACACCACCTTTTGAATCTAGTCTAGTACGATGACAAGACAAAACAGAAATTGAAACTCGACACAATATTTGCCAAAATCTCACGGCGCTCGTCGACTAATGCACATTTAAAGCAACAAAAAAGCACCAAACCCAATAGAAACTTGCAAAGGCTCTGAACCGTGCTATTTATCGTTTTGGATTCTCAATAATTATCCACTTTTATGATTGTTATTATTTTGCTAATGCTTCTTCGTTGGGAGTTTTGTGTTTGTGTGTTCGTGTTTTTTTTTTCGTTCTTTGTGTTTCTTTCTTACTAACTCACTTTGTTCCATATGCAAACTAAATCATAACTTTGTATCTATCGATAGACGAAGCACACAAATTACAGCGCTCATTTTTCATTTTACACTCGGAAAATATTTGTTTGTTCTCATTTCTTGGCGGTATGCATGCGTGTATGTATGTTGAATGGTTGAATGAAGAAAATAGCAACCAATTGAAAATAATAACTAATCCGCGCTTGAACAACGACGCATCGCACACAACTAGCTTGTTTCTTTTTATCGAATCGAAGAAATTTACAATAGAATTATACGGTGTGGTTCGTCATCAACATTATCAAATTTTATGATATCACTCACACGATGATGATGATGATGAATCAAGTTTTTTTTTCACTTATTTTCTCGTTTTCATTGAATTTCAACCAGATTGTGAAACGCATGCACAAAAACTATATATTGAACTAATGAAGCGAAGATATAAGAGAGACAAGTAGAGAATGAAGAAAAAAAAACGAAAGAAAAAGCAGTGATGTGAGCAACCATATGACTCTCACTGTGTGGAGCAAAAGAGTGAAAAAAAACTCTTTTTATTCTCAAACGAGAGACAGACGCAAATTTAATTTACATATAAATTCATGGCAAATTTTCTTCTATCTGCCATAGAAAACACACTGAAACACACGCACACCAAGAATGAGATGAAGATAGAGTGAGGAAAAATTGAAAATGACAGCGAATTTTTTTTTATTTTGGTTAAACTACAGTAGACTAGAGTTTTTTCTTTCTTTCTGTCACCCGTTAGCGAGTTATTTACACACAACACTGAACTCATTGGATAAACAAGCGAAAGAGCGCATAGTATATCATGCGGTTTCTTTTTTAGATAGTCATCACAGTACAGTAGTGCGGTCAGAGTGAGTTTTCTCTCGTTTTTCGTATCGAAAATTACCATGCAGTAGCAACGGTAACGATGTTTAGCTAACACACATTCACAGTATATTAGCCGCATACAATACAGAAAGAATGAATAGAAAAAAACTAACAACAACACACACGTTCGTGTCTTTTTCTCTTTCAAACGAGTAGAACAAAAGACATTGTCCGCATTTAATCGCGAGACGGTAAAACGCTATTATTATGATGTAAAAAAATTGCTATGTATGAGTATTTCAGAGGCATATACACAAATGTGACATGACATGACATGACGTGCGATTTTCTTCGTTCTCTCTCTCGCACTTTGTTTACTCTCTCTCTCTCTCTCTCTCTCTCTCTCTCTCTCTCTTGTTGTGCAGCACAAGTCCCGTATGGCAAACATATGGATGAGCTACGTCAAGTTCATGTATCATCAATCAATTTATACGATGATTTTGATGAATATTCCATGCTGTCGCCATTCATTTGGACAAAAACCTTCAATTTCCTTAGGAATAATCAATTTTCATCGAAATAAATGTCTTTGATATCAATCTATTTCCATTTATTTTCTAGTAAGCACCGTTTCTCAATGTGAACCGCCTTTAACTAGCTATCCTCGACTGACATTTCTCTATTTGACATTTCTCGCGCATACCCATTCCATGTGCAGAGCAATACGAATTGCAAAACATCTCACATATATTCGCTGTAATTTGAATTGGGTGAAGTGTCATCAAATCACAACACTAGCAAATCATTTTGGAAATACTTGTTTATTGGAAATTTGTTTTTTTTTTGTTTCTGTTTCTACTTGTACTCGCGCCAAGGCGCACAGTCATGCGAACGAATCAAGTGCATTTTCTGTGGTTTTCAAATGTGTGTGCGTCGGTGATAATTAAGTAATTCAGTGACGTATTCTTGCAGTATGTGTTTGGTGTGTGGTTGTTGTTTCTTTTTTTGTGTATCGCATTCTCACATGACCTGCTTGTTAAAATAGACAATGCTAGGCTTTTGTTGTTGCTAGTTTACCGATCGTGTGTTGAGAAAAAAAAAATAGTAAGACCAGCCAGAGAGGCGTGTAGTGGACAAGTGCGAAAATTGTGCTCGAATTGAATGGCATGTATTTCGTCACAAATTGTGCTTTATTTATGTCTCGTGATCCCAAGTCATACAACAAATCAACCAACCAGACTTCCTTTAACTGAGCTGAACTGAATTGATTTGTTGTTCAAGCGTAGTTGCTCATTGGCAGTTTTATGCCAAAATAAAAGGAAAAAAAACGGCCACATAAACAATATTGTATTTAATTGTAGTGAGAGTAAGCTTAACCGGAATCGCATGCTCAACGAATTGCGTGATTGTGCCAACGATTGTGTATAAATAGTGGCAATATTTAAGGAAACCGACCATGGAGTAAGCACCGATAAACAAATGAACCGGTCGCGTAATCCAAACAGTACCAAAGTGAATGGTTGCGGTGGCAATAAATAGCGTTACAATAAACACTTGATTTTCGGTTTATCAGGACATCAGGATACTGTTCAATGAGCGTGCCAAAGATGGATTTCGTTGACACCGATTCTGTTGACGAGTTAGTGCGATTTTATCGAAATATTTACAATTTTTACAATTTCTATTTTAGTAAATGATAAAGGAATGAATTCAATTCGGTTTGGTTGCACCAATTTCTTTTCTAATTTTCCCTCCCAATTAAGAAAATGCGACAATTATTTGTCGTTGCCAAAAATAATTACATATAGCTTATATTTCGTGTGAAAGTCCAATTTGGGCTGCCCAAACAATATGGCTATTGCAATAAAATCTCCGTTTTTTTCTTGAATTTATTTTTAGTCAACTTGACGCCGGTATAGATATCATTGATGATAAAGGAATTGTTGTGAGAGGTAAATTTGTCATGTCTTTCATAAATTCCCATTCCGAAACAGTGTTTCGCTGCGAAACGGTGATAATCATTTTATTTTTAATTGTGTTAATTCTGTATTTACGTCGTTCAGAATCGCCAAATGCCGAGTATATGTTATCGGGGAGTGAGGACAATATTGTTGCCTATCGCATATTACAATTGTCCGATGATTCACCGAAAAGCAATCAAACCATTCATACGACATCGGCGACGGTAAATAATTCAGTCACGACAACCGTACCACAGCAGCTGCAATACATTGTGATTGACAGTTCAAATGGATTTTTGCAAGCCGTTCCAACCACTCAAATCACCGCCGTACCATCGACAACAATCAAAGTTGAACCACAAACGACCAGCAACAGCAGTAGTTCAAATTCATTGAAAATGCGTACATCGGTCGCAATCGCACCGAAAATCGACTATCTACCATCAACGCCGTACAGCAGCAATACAACAAACAATAGCACCGTTTCATCTAAGTCAAATGTACTTGTTTGCTCATTATTTTCTTCTGCGGTTTAATTTTCAAAGTCTAATTTTAACTCATTCTACTTCGATGTAGACAAGTGTCATCGATCCGTTGAATTCGTTTAAGAAGCGAGACGATCGACGACGAGCCACCCACAATGAGGTGGAACGAAGACGACGAGACAAAATCAATCATTGGATCATGAAACTGGGTGCAATTATACCAGCCGATGGAACTTCAGTTGAGATCGGTGATAGCGGTCGATTGAGCATAGCTGCAATTGAAGGCCAATCAAAGGGTGGAATTTTATCGAAAGCCTGTGAATATGTGCAAATGCTTCAAGAGAAAAAAAGCACTCGGTAAATGTTTGTTGTCATTTTTGAAATTTTCATTACTGACATGATATTGGATGTCATGAAAATCGATGTTTTCTTCACCTTTTTTTGAATTTTTTTTCAATCTTTTCCGTACCTTTTTCGAAAGAAGCAAAAATGCATCACAATCAGCCGACAGCCGAACAATAGTCGAAAAAAAGAAGTACGAGGACGAAATAGCCCGTTTGCGTGGAGAAAATGAACTACTGAAAGCGATCCTCATTAAAAATGGCATCAATTATGTAAAGGAACGAACATCGTTTAAATCCAATGAATATTCGTAGCTTTGGAATAAAAACTTGAGTCCATTAAACACATGATACACCACACAAAGTATACATTTACATATAGCATGTGAAAAAGCAAACAAAAAGGCTTGTATTGAAGGTTAAACACTCGACACAATAAATAATGAAGACGGGAATCGATCCCATGTGCCATTTTAATCGGAACGGGACACATTGAACAAAGAGAAAATCCATGTTAGAATCAATGATAATAATTGAATTATGCAAATTTTGAGTTATTTGTTTCCTTGCAAAAAATAGAACAGAAATTGAAATGAAATAAATGTATAGTTTTATGTGGAGCAAATTGTATCTCATTTCAGCCAATGCTGAAGATCTCCATATATGCACACGTAATATTATTATTATACATCGAATTCCCTTCCAAAAAAGGACATCGAACTACTATTACCTTAACTCGAAATGCTGTTAGATATTGCAATGAAGTGTAGCTAAATTCATAATTGTTTGTAAAGCAAATGTGGCAACTGAAACACATTAATCGGCACACATTTAAAATGGAGTTGAATTTTGTTTAATTTTATGTGTAAATATCTGTAAGAAGTTAACTTGTTATCACATCAAATAAAAAATAGAAATATTCGAAGAAAGAAATAAAATTTGATTGAAACAACGAGCGTGTGCCTTTGATTCATTTGTTTTTGAACATTTATTTAGAGCACAAAACATCAGCATGTAAATATATCTAAAGAGTTGAACGATTTTTCAGCTTTAGTTGTTGTATTTAAATACGTAAATATATTGTATTTTCATTTCAAGAGAGGAAAGTCCGATTTTCATTTGCTTGTTTAAAATTATGTTATAATGCAGTAGTGTGAGCATGTGAATACCCGCCTCAAAACGGTCACATCGGCTATAGCATGTTTAATGTGGAAATTTGTTTGATTATTTATTGTTTCGTTTTCGACTGTGATTCGTTTTTCCACGTATCATCATGACATTGATTTCCAACACCATTCTGGCCATTCTGGCCATTCTTTGATTTTTCTTTATAACTGGTTTATTTCTTCTTCTTTAAAACTTAAATGATTTAAAATCAAAATTCAAAACTTTTGGAATGCCACAAACTGAACCAAAATCCTTACACAAAACAATTTGCACTTGAACTGACCACAAACGTAATTGATTTACTTTTGCAAGAAAAAAAACGGAACATGTTGGACGAACATTTCATTCGATTTTTGTAAACTCGTTTGCAGCTGAAATCAAGATAAAATGATGCATAAATAGATAGGTGTTTGTTTGTTGGTGATTAAATCTCTGTAAACATGTGTAGTTAATAGATTTATCGTGTATAAAAGACGCGGTAGTACAGTGTTTTCGATCGCCAAAGTGAGTATGAGTTATCGAATTTCAGTAGATAAACTCCTTCGCCAGGATATGTATGAGAGCCCACATAGACTTCCATCTGACACTCACGTCGGTATACAGGAACAACGCTTGAAATTGGCGGTCGGAAACGTGCCACCGGTGATGGCGGTGAAGTAGGACCATTTCCACCCGATTCGATATCATTACTTTGTTGAAGCTCAACTAGTCGGGTAGAGAAAGGGAAGAAATCATTTCAGAATGTCATCACAATGTGAATTAAAGTGCATGATTAATGTTACCTTCATCTTCGTCTTCTTCGTCGTCATCTTCACTATCACATACTTGCACTTGAACTTCGCTGGATGTTGGTTTTCCCCATTCGAAATAAACACCGAATCCAATATCATAACTATCAGTGGCAAATTCCCAATACAAACAGCTTCCACCTTCATGTGTTGGTACTCGAACGGTGACGATGTCGCCATGGCCAACCTTGATTTTAAGAAGAAAAAATTTGTAAAATACCTCAATCCATCAAAGATTTCTTTGAAGACCAAAATTACGTTGAACAAAAGAGAAGACCAAGGAATAATTGACTCACTTTGATAATGCCTTCGCCTTTGCCAGCCGCCACTTCCGTCTTGAATTGTTCAATATCTGGTTTGGTCCACATTTGTGCCGGTGCAATTGGTGGAAATCCATCTGAATCTTGGTCACTTTCGCATTCCTCCTTATCATCACATTGACTATTTTCCTTGGGCGATAAATTTAGATGGTTCGACGTTGCAATGGTGCTGGCCGTACCACTAGTTGCCACTGCATCTCCATTACTCTGTTCGGCCGCATCAATTTTTTCATTCTTTTCGGTCGAAATTTGTGCGTGCAACTGTTGCATATACTGATGATAATGCTCATTTTGTAGTTGTCTTATCAAAACGGCCTGTTGCTCCGGATTGCCCGGATATTGTTTTTCAGCATACGCACGAAATTGTACGTAGGTCTGTTGATTGAGTGCATCTTGTAGTTTACGCTTTTGCTGCTCTTCACGACTTTTCTGTTCGTCCAATAGTTTTCGACTGATTTCCTGTTGACGCTCCAATTCCAATTGTTCGACCCGTCGACGCTCCTGCTCTTGTGCTAATCGCTCTTTTTCTTCTCTATCCTTTTTGATTGCCTCCACGTATGGCTTGAACGCAGCACACGAACGATCCAATAAATCGATAAAACCCTCCATCGCTTGTGACTTTGTTATGGTGCCCAGGTTTTGCCACGCAACACGACGATCACGGCCAATTACATCGAACGCTCCAAGTGGTGGCAATTCCACCGACGTAATCGGGCCATGTAATGCTTGCTGTGAAAATGCGACCAATTTTAAGTTGTCCTCGTACGTGAATTGAACGGCTTTGCCTGCTTTTTCTATTTGGAAAATAGCAAAAATCAAGGAAGGAAAATACGGTTAGTAGGGTTGAAGACTAAATTATCGTAATTTTTTCTATGAATCATCTCAATCAAACGCAAGAATAGTAAGTACCTTTGTAGAAACTCAAAGCATTGCGATATAGATCCGTGAGTGACCAGCCCCATTTGGTTTCATCGTTGCTTACAATCGACATATCACTCAAACGAGATTCAACTTGATCCATATTTTTCCGCCCGAAAATGAAATCTACACCTCAAAACAGTTCGAATTGGTAAATAGTCGAAGAAAAAAAAATTCAATTCCAATGTTGTGTCGTAAGTAAATATTGTCACTACACACTGAGAATGGTAATTGACGAGGAACAATATTCTGGCTACAACAAAAATGGCATATCAACACGAATAATGAGCCTACGTTTGATGTTTTTCGATTTGACGTTTTGTGTTGACGTTTCTGTTTGTTTTGGCTTCTCCGATTGGTATTGCCGTTTTACGTGGGTACTAAAACACATGAAACGGTGAGACTTTGTTCTCCTGCCCGACGCGATTCATTTGCTTTGTTTGGAAATTTTAATTTTTTTCAATTTTTCATCAGACCTTAAAAATGAATGAATAGTGGTTAATACCAATGGAAAATTGGTTTAAAAATGTGTAGATTTCTTTTTATTTTGTCAGTTCATAAAATGAATCATCGATAAAACCGTATTTCATTCCACTTTGTACTAAAACGTGATTCAATGTTTTGTGCAATACGAGTGTCTTTCTGTGTATGTGAGTGAATGAGACTTGACAGAAAGTAATACGAACATCGATTCACAAACCAGTGTGAACACAATAGCCGATGATGGTTGAAAAACCGACGAGACTGACACAATAACATCGAGGTAAAGCCAGACGGCGATTCAGTTGAAATTGAAACATAGATACTGCATCACGCACACTGCAGAATACATAGTATTTTTTTGGGGGCTTTATTATTTTGTTGACTTTACATTCTGTTCTTTAATTTTTCTGTTGTTAAAATAAAAAGAAAACGAATAAAAGCAAACAGCAAAACTAGCGTGAGATTAACCTTTACCTACCTGCGACTATTAAATGTAATTTGTTTGTGTTCGTGTTCGAGAATTGATTCCAAATTTAAAACAAAAAGAAAGAAGTAAAAATTGTTGTTGCATTCAGTTCTCAATAAAATATATGTATAAAATCAGGCAACAGGATCTCCACAGGCAGAAAATAATGTAATAAAAAAAGTTTTCCTATAACATTTCAATGTGTAGTGTAGCTACTTGTGTTGAATGTAATTCTAGTATGTGTCGCAAATTCTCTCCATTAATTGGCGACAAGGAAAAATAATAATAAAAAAAAGGTTCACTTGATTGAACATGCTAATGAATATTAATTCAAAATCCGTGGAAACACACCACATGCAAACAAAAAAAATAAATCCACCATGAATTTGTTCCAAATTGGAAAGTATGTAGGTGTGAGTGAGAGGAACAATTTTAAAATTGTGGAATGAATTTAACAAGTATCAATTAATGAAAAAAAACAACAACCGCGATTTTTGTGACATCATTTTACGTACGTTTTGTGTCGCTTTAAGCATCCGTTTTAAAAATATTCTAAACGTACGACCTGCTCAAACTCATGCCGATCGACAGTGAATAGAATATTTTTCGTCTGCTTCTCTCAGCATTTCGTCACATTAGCTTAATCACATGCCGCGTTAGTTGGTTTTTTCTATGCTGCTGTTGTTGTTGTTGTACCGAGTGAAACCAAAATAATATCAAATACACGTACGCAAAAGGGAAGCACATTGTTCTTCTGTGCATTTAACGAATGCAATGTACGAAATTGTGTAGAACAAAAAACATTTTCTTTTGTGTAAAGAAAAAAAGCAGCTGCTGTTGCGAAACCCAACGTCAGTTCAGTTCTCCGAAATTTATCTCAGCGCAAATTGTTACTAGCATTGTCTTGACTGCTCAGTGGCCATAAATCGTTTGGATTTTCGCTTCTATTTGAACAAATTATCGTTTGACCCCATGCATTGCGTGCACTATCAATGATAAACTATCCGAAAAAATAGCGCAATCAATTTTCGTACAATGAAATTGGCAGTAATGGCACGGTTAAAAATGAGTTTTTACACAAGCGCAAAATTGTCTGTATCTCTCGTACGAATCAATTGAAACAAACGAAGATTGAATGCTCAGTGATGATACCCAGTTGTTTTATAATTTACAAGCTCTGGCTAAAACTGAGTTATAGTATAGAGTTAGTTTTAGACAGAAACGCAATTCTCTCGCTCTAAATGCTGTCGAAACGGTCCCGAATCCGGTTCAGTGAGTAAGAATTAATTGGCACCGGGAGGAATAGTTAAGTAGTTGAATTGTTTATGTGTCTTTACATATATATGTGTGTGTGTGTCGTTGGATTCAATTATTATCATCAACAAAACGACTTTTGATGTGCCATTTGGGCGATATATAAATAAACACATCATTCCATTTATTATTTAAAGTCCAATTTTTCAAGTGATTTCAACTATCGTTGATAAATAATCGGTTGCTTCATTATTCTACAATTATTTCCAATTATTTCATTATTCTTCAGTTTCATTTAAAAGTAACACAGAATCAAATATGAATACATGATACAAATTACGCTCCAACGAGCTACTCATTCAGAATAAGTGTACATTTTGATTTTTCGCTGCAAACGTTTTTTTTTCTTGCTTTGTTCATGACATTAAGCTTAATTTGCCAAATGTTTACATAACGCATTCGACGAACGCGTGAATAGAAATAAGAGTATTATTAGCGAATCAAATAAGTAAAGAAAAATCACCCATAAGTATATCATATAATAAAGACGTATTCCGGAATGAATTTGAACTAAATCTGGGTTGTGACGTGCGATGAATAAATTTTCATTCTATGCCCAAATCGGAACAATCAATTTTGCGAGTGGAAAGAGCTACAATATTACACCGCACGGCCCGGCAAATAAAGAGAGAAACGAGAAAAAATCATACCGTACGATGTAAAGTCAAAAATAATCATTTCCATTTTATATTACATAAGATACAGAACTGTGTGTCAGCATTGAAAATGTGTGTATATATAATATTGTGAGCGTGCGATTCGGACGCACCTCAGTCAGTCAGTCAATCTCTTTCGCGGTGAGTTGACAACATTTCACTTTCATTTGCATTTGAATGTCGCGTCGACTTCGCCACCGTAGGTACATTTGCAATTTGTGGTGGATTTATGCATGAATAACTTTTATCAACGGTCAACCATCCCTATCCGCTTTCTCAATGGGCTACGAACATATTTTTTCTCTCTCTGTGCTGAGTTTCTATGAGAAACAAACTTGAGAATTTCATTTTCATTCTTGATTATAAAAATATTATGCTAGCAATTGGCACATGTGATCGTAACGAATTATTATCGTGTTCGTTCTTGCGTTCAACTTGCTTTTCGAGAACTAATTTTTTCAACATTTATCGCATATCAAATGGTTGAACGTGACTGTGTGTGAACATTTTGATTGAAATCACAAACGCAATGGAGTCATACACAGCTGACCGAGGACTTTATACGAAATTCATTTGTGTGAATGCATGTCAATAAGCGTAAACATGGGCCACATGATTTGTTTTTCATCACAATCTTCACAGTGGAACATTTTGCTGTAATTCATTGTCTCATTTATATACCCATCTACATACCCCCATCGGCAGTGAACTTTGGATGTGACGATGATGAAATTATGTACATTTTCATCGAGTATCGAAGGAAAGTTTTTATGCAAATTCCCTCAAACACTCTACAAATTAACAATTGATTTTGCGCTGCAAGAGTTCCATCGTTCAAGTTTGAGTTGGATCTTTCAAAGACGATGACCTTTGAATAAAATTTGACACGAGACAACAACATTGTTGCCCAATCACTCAAAGAAACTTGGCCCTATTCCGAAAATATCCAAGTCAATGTTATCGTGTTCATTGTTTCAATCGCGTCGAAGAAGCGTTACCAGCTGACACGTACACCGCTGAAAAAATAACAAATTAAGCTGGATTAATTCAAGAAATTCGTTTCACTTTCAGAACGGTGAATGGAAACAACGACGCATAAAAAACAATTTTAAAATGATTATCATGAAGGTTATGTTCACCTAAGTGGACAGAAGCGCGCATTTATTTGTTGAGCAGGCATAACATGTTTTTTTTGTGTGTGTGTGTGTAGGCTTCAAGCAAATTTGTCTTCTAATGAATTCATCGTGTTTTGTCTTCTAATGAAGACAAAAACACGATGGATACAAACATGTCGAAAAATGAAAGAAAAAATGTTGAAAAGTAAGTCAAAAAGGAATTCATAACAGAAAGTGAGTCTATTTTGGGAGAAGCCGACACAAATCCAATTTAAAATTTCTCAAGCTTCTGTATCGTTTAAAGTGCATCCCTTCGGGCCATGAGCATATAGCGTCGAGCGATTAATGTGATCGAATCCGGATGAAATATGCATGCGATATGACAAGTGATACAAAATCGATAATGTGTCTTATATCGTGCATGTATAAATAGATAGTCTTCTCGTTGTTGAACATAGTGAAAACTGTACTTCTATCGATAGAGGAGAGGAGAACTGTAAAACTTTGTTTGCGGTTGACATCATCGATAGCATGCAAATTTCATTTGTATTCAGAAGCACGTTAAACTTTAATGTCCATAACTATTACATGACATATGAAAATTGAATGAACAGAAGCGGTGTGGACAGTGAGACAGAGATGGAAGGAACTCAACTTGACCGCACACATTGCGATATTGTGCACCTAACAATCAAAAATGAGTGGGTCAAGCGAATGCATATCGCGTTTCAATGTAGGCAATATAGTGTACCAAACTAGCCACTTTAGAGTCATTAATGAAGATTCTATGACGCAAGCACATTCTTGTTCGTTTGCTAAGGTGCTTCACATAGGAGAAACATCGTACACAGAATGAAACGAAAAGAAACGCAACAGTTCAAAGGTTTTTTTTTCCATTGCCAGTTTTCATATAAAACGACAGCTTCGTGATTACCGTTTGAAACCGCAACACACACACACGCCAAGCCACCAATCAATTGTGGCTTGAAAAAGTCTTTCATACTATGTCAAATGAATGTTGCGACTCACTTTTATCCAGTTTAACAAACTAAATAACGTGATCCCATTACAAAGGTACTTTGCGCTGAATTGCAAGGATTTTAAACCACTTGAAAACATTGAAATTTCCCATGCGAAAAAATAACAGTTATAATTTGACCTTTTCCCCATCGAATACGATTCTCACATCATTCGGAATAAGAGAAGAAAAAACATCTCGCCATTTCATAGGAACCAAACATCTGCTCGAAATGATATTTTAGTTTACAATAAATGCTGCGTTTTTTCTTCTCTTTCTCGGTTTTCAAAGTTGACATTTATATAACGATTGATGAAATGAATGAAAAAAATATTCTTTTTCCATGAATAATTGGATAATAGTCATTGTTAGAGACTTTGATTGCAATTCACGTATCATTCGATTCTGTGTGAATGTATGCATATGTATGATAATGACTCACAGTTTTACGAAAACCGAGAGAGAGAGAATGAGACAGAGTAGGTGGCTGGCGATGATAGCATACTGAGGCGCGAGCGCTTCAAGCAATTCAGCGCAATTCAAGTGCGCGACAAAAGTGTGAACTTGACAAGCAAGATATATACGTTTGAGCAAAGCTGTGGGCGTAATAATCCAGAGTAATCAATGGCAGCTTAAGAATGAATCTCGGCGTTTCAATCACGTTTTCACACCAATTCAAATGGGCTAAAATTTTCAATAACATGCGGCACTTTTGTAACAAGTGCACAAAGAGAAATTGAATACACACACATACGCACAAACACTCGTCGTACACACACATACGCACAAACACTCGTCGGCGTTCATTGTGTAATCCGCTTTGCCACTGATTATTTCTGTTGATACGGCCATCTGGCTATATATACATTATCATCTATATTTTGCTGATAATTGCATTGGTTTGATAAGATAAGCAGAATTAGAGAATTCAATGCACCATTTTTGGTATATCTAATGATTTTAACAATAAATCTAACCCATTTGCAAATTACCACAGAAGCAATCAGTTTTAGGGAAAATGTATAATATTTAAGAATTCAAAATTAAAACAATTGTAACATCGTTGAGATAGTTTGAGTGGTAGCAATTAATTTGGGTAGGAAATCGTTTATAAAATCATTGAACTTATTGGGCTTTTTGATGAATTTATGAAACTTTTCGAGATGTAATTACGAACATGTGTATGTGTCGGTTTATTCAAACACTAGCTATATATGAACGCATACGAAAAATACAATCTCTCTTAAAACTGATAAGATGGAACGAAATACATGTAACAAATGTTTTGAGTGCTATTTTCGAAACCAACAATTTGAATGTTGAGTCGGTGCGATGAGAATGCCAATGTGAATGTAGTTGTGATAGTCGGATGCTAAGCGATTCGTCATCATACCGGCAACGTTCCAGTAGCTCCATTGAATATTGCTATTTGACTTGCTTGCAACGCAAACGATTTGGTTTTATTTGTCTTGCCTTTTTTTTGGCACCAAACGCCATTTTAGTGAAAAGAATTATTCTGTAAGCGCAAAGGAATGTCAACGTTGTCTTAAAAATAGATTGTAACATTGTGATTAGAGAGCTGATTTCAAGAGTGATATGATTCATTGTAGCGCAAATTATCTCCGAATGTGTTCAATCAACTGAACTTTGAATTGTGTTCAAGTGTTGATTTTTCTTTGCTTTTTGATGTGAAAGAGATAGATACAAGCACAAACATACAAACCACTGTAGACACAACCTATCAAATGTGTCAAAAGTTCAAATTCAGAAATAAATAAATTACGTTTCTGAATCTCTCTCTCGGGCAAAGCACAACGACTTGAGTCGAAGCGAAATATGATTGAAACTTTGAATGAAACGACTTTTATTTTTATATCCCTAAATAACATGAAATTGATTCGTCCGCTTTATTATTTCGGTTCCCTGCTTCTTTTTCTCGTTTCAGTGTAATCGAGCGCACGCGATAAATCGAACAAAAAAAAAAACAAAAACAATTTAAATAGTCAAGGATTTCAAAGGATATCAGGCATCCAATCATGATGAGCGCTTCAATTTAAGTGATTGTTTCAATTGATATCGAAACGAAACATATCGTCTTGGTGAATACAAAACCAGCAACAACATCGTTCAACGGAATTTTAAATGAAAAACGACGGAAATATAAATGTAGTTAAAAGTCGATTGTTTTAAATTGTGATGCAGAGTACCAAAAAAACAGTGCTCAATACATATACATATATATACAAACGAGTGGTGGATTTTTTTCTTCGTTGAATAGACACAAATCAAACCGAATTATTGTGCGTAAGCGATTAAATAAATCACCGAGAAGGACACACAAAGAGAGAGTGACATCGAAATTATCAGCTCAAAAAGGAATTTATTTTGAGAATAAGAATCGTTGAAAGACGAAAGTGTGTGACTCCGTTTTTGTTTTCATCGCCGCCGTCGTCGTCGTCGTCGTCGTCGAATTTGTATGCGTGTGTATGCTATTGCCACGCACTGTTTTGATACGCTGAGATCAGTTCATTGCTCGAGACGTGAATGAAAGCATCGTAATCATATCCAAAATGACGGAGTGGTGTCAAAAGTAAGTGTTTTTTTCTTCTACATGTTTCTTATCTTATGTATTCGGCACAAAGTGTGTATGTTCTGGCGCTGTGACCCTTCTTCATTTGGGGCAAAAACATATTCCGCCTTAACTACCGATTTACTAAACCATATGATAGCCATAAAAATCTTGTTATATATCGTGATAAGAATGTCACTATGGCTTTAGGTATCGTAGCCGCGCTTAACTCTAAAACTGGCTTCCAAACGGGTTGTTAGCACGCAATTTTTTTTTGTCGCCTATGTACGATAATGTCTGTCGCCCAAAATGGATAGTCTTGATGGGATTTGCCTCTCAATGTCTTATCTTCCGGCCAAATATGGAAAAAATGTTATTTGTTTCGTTCATCCCAAGGGAATGGTTGGTTTTGATTAATTGCTGCAGGCACTTTCTACGATCGTAACATATACCCGTCTCCTCGATACAGCGTGAATTTACCTTTGATACCCCCTTGTACCAGCTGTCAATATGAATAAATAAAGCGCCGTTAGCGGTTGCTTGTTAACCTGAAATCAATTGCAACATTTGCCCCACTCTTAATAATACAAAACCATCGAAATGATTAGCTTTGATTGCTTCCAATAAATTATGAATCAAAGAAAAATCAATGAATCGATCGAATAATAAATGTGTAAATGAAGTCGAATTTCGAAAGAATTGCTACATTTGAAATTCATTTAGTCCATGAGTGTGTGTGTTTTGGCCGGAACGCATACAACAGAGGTTGATACAAATGAATTAAAACCATTATTTCCATAACTGTTGCTGTTTCCGACACTATCATTAGAATATGTTATTCAATTTACTAAACAATTTGATTTCTAATAGCTCGAAACACACTCTCTCTCTATCCATATATCAAAATCGTAATTTAATTTGTATTGTGTTTATTTTGTGCTTGCAGATTATTTATAGTGTATCCAAAAGCCATAGTTCGTATAGCAATTGTGATAGTGAACAACATTTATTGTATACCCACATACACATTATGGATGCTTATGTTGCTGCCACTGAAGCGATTCAATCAAAAATTGTACTACAAAATAGAGGGTAAATTTTTCCATTGGTTGCTGTCAGTGGTGGCGATGTGGTCTTGGTCGGCCGGCTATGATGGTAAGTTCAACCGATTATTATTATTTATTGATGCCATAGTGCGCACTTAGCGTTATTCCTACTTCTGTCTGACGATTGCATGTTCCCACAAAAGATGAAATAATTCATACGATATCGATTTATGTTTGTGCGGTTAAAATTTCAGTGGTCGAGTCAGGTGATGATTTGACACCATGTCAAGAGGAGGGCACCCGAACGTTGATACTGGCCAATCATCAAAGCACAGCCGATGTACCATTGTTTATGGCATGTTTTAATGCTAAACCAGATGTTTTACCAAATATTATGTGGATTATGGATCGTGTGTTTAAGTTTACCAATTTCGGCATAGTTAGTGTTTTGCATAGAGACTTTTTCGTACAAGCGGTAAGCGTCCTAACCGAATTTCCGATTTCGATTCAGAAAGGTCTTTTCCTACCAATTGGAATTTTCTTTTTTGAATATTTTTCCTTTATTTTTGCATACAATTTTTCCGCATTTTATATTCAAATTTGTTTGTGTCTAGGGACGAAAAACGCGCGATGCAACCGTGGAAAATTTGAAGCATCATTTACGTGATACATTTTTACCATTGGAACGACGCTGGATGGTGCTGTTTCCGGAGGGTGGTTTTCTACGAAAGCGTCTTGAAGTGAGCCAAAAATATGCGGCAAAAAATAATTTGCCCATGCTAAAGAATGTGACATTGCCACGGATTGGCGCACTCAAAGCAATTATGGAAGTTATTCCACCGCACAACTCCATCGGTAATAATAATGCGGCAAAACGCACAGAAAACGGCACCATTCGTCCGTTTGGTAGCCAAGGTATGGTTTTCTGAATGAATACATAAATCCATTTCCTTTGATCGCTTCAATTTATTTTTTCTCTTTCGACATATTCTTGTAATTCCAATTAAAATGGAAATTTTCTCGCTTTGTTTTCTCCCTCTTTCTCCATTTGCATTCGCATTTGCATCAGAACACATTTTCCAGTATCAAAGCAAGAAAGACGATGATACGGAATCACCAAATCTGGATTATGTTTTGGATGTAACCGTAGCGTACCCGGATAACGGCACACCACTTGATTTACCGACAATCGTAACCGGCTCACGACCTCCGTGCAAAACACATTTCCTCTATCGTCTATATCATTCGTCAGAGGTGAATGGAGCTGTTTTAAAACTTTTCTCTCGACTTCGCTAGTTCCTCCGATTGTAATTTCTTTTCATTTCATTTCTGTTTGAAACCAACCAGATCCCAAAAGATGAGCAAACTTTAACGCAATGGCTATTCGATCGTTGGGCCGAAAAGGAGCAATTTTTAGAGGAATTTTATCGAACCGGTGATTTCCCATATGCATCAGCGTATCCGCCAACTGTTGTCGAACAGGATCTACTACGAATGCTAATAATTAATTTATTCTTCATAACCTCAACATACGTTCACTATAAATTATTTTATGTAATAACTAGCCTTATTCTGTAGTTAGTGCCATTCAATTAAGAGAAAAAGAAAGAGACACACATGCGCACGCACCGCAGCTGTACCACTCAAGCAGAAAAAAAAAACAAATAAGAAAGAAATGAATAAAAAAGGGAATGAAGAAAGGACATATACACAAAACTGAGGAGAATTATTATAGAGCAGAAGTTGGAAAAAGAATTACCCGTGCAAACAACAGAAGCAAATGATTCAATTCACAAATGCGCATACATATTACAAAACAAACACACAAAATTATACAGCAATTTGATATCAATATATCAATTTTATGTTCGTACTTTTAAAGTTCTCACTAATTTTGTATGATAATGAATGAAGAAGAAAATGGTCCGTAATCCGGATGATATTGAATCAAGTTTATTTTTCTATATTTAAGTATGTAAATTTTTAGTGTTTTTTTCTATACGAGAAAGATTTCATTCAAAGGAGAAGTGGAAAAAGAAGAAAAAAATCAGTTGGACCGATTGTGCTGCATGTGAATTTGTTTATTTTTTCTTTTGAGCGGGAAAAAAAGAGAATAAAATTTCTTTTTTTAAATTACATTTAAGGCTTAGATGTGTCTTTAATGTACAAATGGCAGCGTATTCGACAGAAAGCAGAAATCAGATAACACGTTCTAAAGAAAATCGATTGAATTAGTTAGGCTCTAGCGCACCACAATGAAACACATAAACACACACACACACACAAACACCGAACGCAGTTATATACCTTTTGCAATAAGCTCAAAACTTTTGTAGTAAAGTTGATAAGTGAGGCGAATAATGTTTTGAAATATATACATCCACTTGTTTCAATCAACGTTTTTTTTTTCGTTCGTTCGTTCGTTCATTCTTTATGACTTCTCTACACACAGAAAAGAATCCCCGGAAATTTTGGGTGTTCGCCGTAAAATTTGACATTTATATTTCTATATACATCATAAATTTCTATATACATTTTACCGGCAACACTTGAATTTTCCGGGCGATGACATATTTTCAAACATTTTATCAAATACTATGTATATTTTACCGCTTGAAATGACAGAGGGCGCTAATTTCTGTTGGAATATTTGAAATTATGTCATCGCCCGGAAAATTCAAGTGTTGCCGGTAAAATGTATATAGAAATTTATATATAAATGTCAAATTTTACGGCGAACACCTAAAATTTCCGGGGATTCTTTTCTGTGTGTATACAATACGATGATCATGGTTAATGTTTTGGAAGCCCTTGACAACCGTATGTGTGTGTGTGTGGAAACTAAGCGACGGAACAATATCTAGGTGTAAGGCGAATTTCAAGGAACGTATATTGAGTTTAATGTTTAAAATTTTCAACGGCAAACATATATGTTTTATGCATCGTTTCCAATTTGACTATAGTCAAGTCACAGTCCTTGCGATAGGCATCAATGAGAATGTGCGTTACACAGTTCATATATCTATATTCAAGGTGGAAAATCAACATACGCTCCTTTTATCGCTAACCATTCATTTGTATTTGATTTTTATTACATGAACAACACATGCTGAATAAATATTCTTATGGTATAAAAACCAAGAACAATAAAAACAAACCTCAAACGGACAGAGAGATACAGAATGTTTTATTGATTTTTTATTCATTTTTCAAGCCATCAAATGGAATGTCAACGGTGCGCGATACATTTATTTAAAATATTGATTGATTTTATAGCGACAGCGATGCATATTTGAACCATCCTTCTCGTATTCTCGAACCGGAAAACTACGAATAATAAGCGAAACATTCATAAATAAACAATGAAGAACAGAGCAACGAAGCCGAGCCAACAAAAATGTAAATGAAAATGAACGAAAACAATGTCATTATCTAGAATAAAACATCACACAACTTTGATAAGGTATATACGAGATAAAGTATGAATTTCGTTTGTATTTCTTTCTCTTCAATTAGTCATGGCAATCGATTTTGTTGGTGGCGAAAGTTGCATGGAACCTAAGTGGGCGTCCTGATGAACTGCCAATTTTGTTTGTATACATTTTACCCGTTTCCAATGGAAAGCCATTAGCAACATAAATCCGTTTGATCGATAATCGTCACTTAGTGTTATTTTGAGATGGCCACAGCAAGTAAACCATTCGAGACAAATGGAGATTCGAAAGAGATTACTTTGGGTAAAAAAATCGCTGAATTGAAGAAGAGATTAATTTTGAGCGGTAAGTAACTCAACGTGACAAATCGAATTTAAAACTTTTGAAAGTCAATCTATCGAAGAAAGAAAAGAACTTGAACCGTCTCAACTGTCTTACCAATTTGTGCAAACTTATTCGTTTTGAAGAGGGTCAGAAAAAGGCAACACTCGAAGAATGGGACGGAAAGGAAAAGAAGTGCTTGGACACGATTGCCGATTTGAAAAAGGAAATCAAAGAATTGACCGGACGTTTGATGAATTACATAAATGTGACCGACGGAAAATATTCGGAAGATCCGTGCGAGGCGATTCGCACAGTGAATTATCCAATTGGTGCTGACACAGCATATAAAGCACTCCAAATATACGACCTAGAAATAATCAATCAAACGAAGAAATATGATTTACTCGAGGCGGAATTTATGCAACGCAAGAATCAATACCATAAATTGCAACGCATCAAAGCCGAATCGATTGCAATCCGAAAAGCTGAAAACGGTTCAGATCAAACCACCAACGAAAAACCAAAATCAAATCGACAAAAACAATTCCGTACAAACTATGCACCGTTGACAATTGAAGAGGATGAAAACCGTAAATTGATCTGCCATTTGGAAAATGAAATAATCCGCATTAACATGCAATGGGCACAAGCTGGTATGTGTGTATGCGTGAGAAAGCGAGACTTACAACCTATTTATCGAAGAACATTATTTTTTTCTCGTTGAAGAACATATTCGCAAAAAATACAAGTCCATACAAGCGACCCTGATGACCGATGCCGAAAAATTCGAAAAGAATCTACTCGAATTGGAAGAGTCGTTGCGCCAACAAAATGTTGATATTGAAAAAATGAAGGTAATGGACAAAAAAATATTGTGTTAGGTAATGGTTAGAAAATAAAACGTGATTTCCGTTTCATTTTCCTTAGGATGTGAACCGGGAAGCAATCCACATGAGAGACGCGACTAAAATCGGTAATTCGATAATAAAATTGGTTTGAATATCTTTTGTATATTTTTCTTTTTTTAAACCTTTTATTTTCAGTTGCATTACGACAAGAGCACAGTGCACAGGCCGCAACCAAGTCACGGTCAAAATTGGCCTTCGATTATCGGCAACAAGTAGAAAATCATAAGATCGAGCTGGAGCGACTGGAACGGAAATTGATGATCACAACAAGTAGATAAGATGTGGTTTGGGTAGATTTGACCGCAAAAATGCTTTCATTGATTCTCATTTTCAGCCAAAACGGTTATGCAACAAGGCAGCATGGAATCGTTGAATGACATTCCACTCTCGGACAAACGGTCGTCGGAGAGTGCGAGAGGACCATCCGATTTTGTGAATGAACTGGAAGGCAAATTAAAAGTGCTGATGCAAACAACGGGTGCAACTAGCCCGAAGGATCTCTTGGAACGATTTTCCTCGCAAAAGGAGGCTATGCAACGGTTGAACTATTTGCGAACCGTTACTGAAGCCGAGAAACGACATCTTGAACGTCGCAGAGATGATTTTACATCAAAATTGGAACAGCTCAAATTTTCTGATACAAAAGAAAATGAAGTGTATGTTTCTCTTTTCTTTCACTATGAATTTAGAATCAAAGTTCATTGAGTACTAAAAATATTCTATTTTCCTTCCTAAATTATTCCATTTTAAACATTAAAAAAATATATTTTTCCATTGAATTTGCCGCAGAAATCAAGAATATTTGGAAAACTTGAAAAAGAGCATAGCGGAAAAACAAGCAAAAGAAAATGAATCATTGCAAGTCTCCAGCCGCTCAAATGCCGTGCTCAGTTCAATTAAAATGACTTTGATTGATTTGATCCACAAATTGGAAGAGATTTATCTTCCAACTGCATCCGTTGAAATTGAAGCTAACGAAAATATCCCGAACAACACATTGCTGCAAGTAAATGTCGTTTCTAATGGACCGCTTGCATGTTTATTGTTTTTGCGTATACCATTTCCATTATACTTTTTCCAGATTCTTGAGGATAAATTGAAAAATGGATTGAAAATGACGGGAGAATACGTTGGCGATGACGATAGTGGTTTTGATATAGACACCGATGCACTTGAAATGGAAGAACCCATTGGGTTGGAACCCATCGATCCAGACAAATTGAGCATCAATTTGAAAGTAATTTTCTTCATTCTGAGTATTTTCTTGCTCCCAAATTCTTAAAAAAAAACTTTTCCCTACATTCAATTTTCATTATTGAATCAATTCATGGCCTTCCCTCTTCGGATATACCGAAATTGCTCTATTCCGAATCGAAATCGTACAATAGCTACCCGAGCTGCTGATCCCATTTATATCGTCAACAATGCCGACTCCTCGTTCGGCACGTTCGCAATTGGGCAGTGCGTACGATGGCAAAACGGCATCCCCGCATGATATTGAAATCGAAAAATCCACACCATATCCAATGTGTTATGGAAATTTGCTGGCTGGTCGCGCCACAAATGTGTCAACATCAACATCACCTGGTCAACCAGCGCAGCCAGGTAAGAAAAGCACCGATCCACGTGCATCGCACATTGACAGGAATTTTCGCGCCATTCGTTTCTGTTTGTTTTTACAGCTGTTTCAGACGACGAAGCCGAAGTTCCATCACGGAATTTGATCAAGCGACAAGCATTGTTAATCGTCGATTCAAAGGCAAGACGCAAAGGCTATCGTGCACCACCAAAACGGAAATAAGCAATACGAATGTCATCGTCAATTAACCATTAAATAAATTGCGACACACTGAGTAAAATTGCCTTTGTTTTCATTTGATGCAATTACGTCATTTTCTTTGTTTATTTTGAACATCTGTAAATTGGTGCGAAACAACGACTGACGGACACGAATTCGAATTTCGAATGGTTTCGAACATACTAGGGAGCGTTCACATGGTGTACTAAAAATGGGCAAAGTAGAATGAATCATTGAATTATCCATGAATTTGCATAATTTAAATTGTAATAAAAATGAAATTTACTTGAAAATTCATAAAAAAAGGGAAAAAATATTCAAGAAGGTTATGAAAATTGAACGAAGACTCATATCGAAAGCCACATTCAACCAGCTCCGTGAAAAGTATTGCAGTTGTGTGAAACTGTCATCGTCTAATGTATTATTGTTTCGAAATTACTCGAAACACTCTATGCTTGTCTCGCTCGCTCACCCCAAATTCACACAGATACTACGTATTCAATAGGAAAGAAACAAAAAAACACACATAAAAACAACAACACAACATCGCAGTAAACGTTGGTATTCTTGTATGAAACGCAATATTGTGTTAACTACGCAAACACAGTTGTACCGTTGTAATCATCGTATTCGCATTTGTTTTTTTTTCCTTCTTGTTCGTTTCTCATTTGGATTAGTTTGGTGGTGTCGTGCAGGCAGCAGCAGCAGAAGTGTTTTGCTATTTGTGTGATTGTGTGTTGATAAATAAGTAAATCGGCGAAAGAAAGCTGAATAGAGACGACGAAGAGAAGAGAATCAAAAAGAAGAAGACGGAAAAACACACCGCGAAAGAGAGAAGAAACACGAGAATTATTACAAATTAAATAATAGGACATACAACACGTATCGCTCAGCGAGCAGAGTTGTCTTGAAATATTTTTTTTTGGCAATCAGACATTGTCATCACACGCGTTTTATTGTGCACCACAAAGCAAGCGACATTCAGTGTTTCCAATTTGGTATTTTTTTCTTCTTCATCGAACGAAGTGCAAATCGGATTAAGTTGCAGAAACAAGTAAAAAAAAGAGCAGTGAAAAAAAAACAATTGCAAAATCACCCGAATAACTTGTTGATCGAGTCTTCGTGTGCATCGTTTTCGTGTGTCCAATTCAATCAACGGGCTAATTGTCGTTCATTAAAGACAGATTTGAATAACATTTTGTTATCTGAAAGCGAAAATTAGTTGTTTTTTCTTTTCAACATCGAGCAAAAGTACCGAAGCCATTTCGAAATAAACATGTCGGAAGTTAAAAATTCCACAACAGACATTGATAACAATGTTCAGGTTAGTGTGCAAAATCGAATTGGAATTATTTAGTACATTCATATAATTTGCTCTCCACACACAACGAGAAGAAGAAGAAGCGAACGAAAAAAAAGCAGAACGTCATGAAAACGCTTGAATTTTTCTTGACAATCAACGAATATAATCGGCCCAATTTACGGTTCGAATCGATCGCTGAGCCCGAAATACAGAAAAAAATATTATCAAATCATGAAGAAGAAATATTTTTTTCTTCTCTGTTGGTTGGTTCGTTGGTTGGTTAGTCGAACAAATTACGCCATACAGTGAATTTTGAGCGCTTTCTATGTGCAGTACATACATATAAAACAGAAAATGTGTTTTTGTGTTTCGTTGGTGTGTGTGTATGTGTGTTGATGTGTTGAAGAGCGAGAAGTGTGAGGGCGAGATGGTGAATGTATGACCGTAGCGCCAAATCGAGTGAATCTCATACGAAACCGAATTGTGTGTACGCATTTCGACTCGCTCGCTCTCTAGCCTGTTCCGTACGCATTGCTCATCGTGTGAATACTCGTATTGTGTTGCATATACTTATATATGTATGCATGGTTCGTTCGTGTGTGATATGGCGCGCACGAGAATCGAGTACACACATTTTTATCTTTATACGATTTTTGGTTTGAATGACGAAGGGCATTCGCGCCATGTTTGCGCATTTCAACTATCAAGCATTACATTCGGCAATTCAATTAGCATGATGCGAAATATCGAGCATTCGCTATATAGAATACGATGGATAAACGATTAAAAACAACAGAGAATAGTAAATCATTTACGTTTTTTCTTCAAACTTCTACTCTTCACTCTCTCTCTTTTTTTACCTTCTCTGTTATTTTCCGTTTTTGTTTTCGTTCCGCTGTGTAGCAGTTGGACTGTGTGTGCGTGCGTACGTATGTATGGGTATGAATATGCAAATAAAATGAGCGGGAATGTATTGCGCGCCTCGAAATCGCTTTCGTTTGTGTGCATAGATGTTAGTGCGCTCGTTCAGAGTGTGCGTAGCGGTAAAATGAGAACGGGTTTCAAATGAAGATATTGTCAACAACAATATTTTTTCCGCTAATTTCGACAGAGCAACCATTGAATCGGCAAACTCTTTTACACGGGCAATGTACGGTTGTCGCACTTTATGGGCACCGTGTGCTCCATTTCTACGGCGTAATGTTCAGTTCTTCAAAACTTCAATGCTTGATTTCCTCTAAGCGTGTGTTTGTTAGCGCACTCGCCATTGAGTAATAGTTCAAACAAACTGCCATGCAGTTATTATTTTGATGACGTGATTCGATTATGTGTGCAATTGAATGAACAATTGAACAGAATTATGTGACCGTATTGTATTTGTTTGGCATAGTATTACATTTCACACACGTTTATACAATGTGTCGGCCATGTAGTCGCACAATAGCGGCTACTATTTTACATCGATGTTGCTTTGTTCTCAGAATGTTTTTCAATTATTATTTTTTCTACTCCGTTGACGCTTTGTAAGTCAGTCAGATGTTGATAACGGCTCGAGGAAATTTGATTATGGTGTGAATTTTGCGGTAGATATAAAAAAAGAGTGCTAACGTCAGCGAAACAAAATCCTTTACGATTCACAGACCCTAAAGGTCACTTGTGATGCCACCAACGGCCATTTATTTTAAATCGAATCATTCTTTCGTGAAACTGTCGTGGAACCGTTCACGAATTGTTGCATCTGCGTTGAAACCAAACAGAAAAAGAATAATGTTCAGTAGTCGTTTTTCGCGCCGAATTTGTCGTTTGCTCAGAATGGTGCTTGAGAGCGTTTTAATTCAATTTGACTATTTTGTTTAGAAAAAAATCGGCTAAAATTTTAAAACACATCCAAATCGAGTTAAAAACAAATAATATTTCTAATATGGCTGATTCTTTGATTTTTGCAGAAAGAGACGCCGAAACTAACGCCAAAGAAGCGTTTGTCGCGCGCAGAAAAGGCTCGACTTGAGAGTGAAGAATTGCTCAAGTCGTACGGTGTAACAATCGAATCGGGACGGCAAACGAGGTCAAGTCGTCGCAGCACCGTTGCCGTTGAGTCACCAAAACCCGAACCACCAAAACGCAAACAACCCAGCACGCCGCGTGCCTCGAAAAAGGCTAAAGTCGTTGAAGTCGATCAAACTGACAGCTCGAACCATGTGGACGAAAGCAACAAGAATGAAACACAGGTAAGATTCAGTCAAAAAATGAAATCGAACCTTTTTTAATGAACATTTTATTGGTCTAGATTGCTAAAGCAACAACAACAAACGCGGTGGAAGCAGAAAAGGTCGCCGACTCCGTAGAAGCGTCTACTTCAGAGCCTGAGCAACAAATGGAAGTTGACACTCCAATCGAAAGTACACAGCCCGAGCCAAAAACACAACCGGAAAGTGTGCCGCAGCCGGAAACCATTGAAGATTCGCCGATCGAACAAACACCGATCGACGACGAACCACCAATTGAGGAAGATTCACTACCCATCGCGGCCGATGAGGTGGAAAGTGTTGCACCATCAACGGCAGTCGATTTGACCGAAGTGGTTGAGATTGAAGGTGTTTCTGCAGCTGCAGACACAACCACGACGATTGTTATCAATGATAGTGAGCCCATAATTACCTCACCACCCGAAAGCAATAGGGACAAAGAAGAGCCAATCGAGCTGCAGTCATCACCGAGTGATATTGACCAACAAGAAGATACGGTCACCAATTCACAAGCCATTATCGCTGAGCCCGATGCAATTGTCGATTTGGAATCGTCATCCAATGAAGGTGATGACACAAAATCCGATGGAGTGAACAATTCCCAAGGACTCAATTCGTTGGAATTGGAGGCAATCAATTCGGATTCATCGCTAGGTGTGAGCGAAATTCAAGACGAGCAACCATCATCTGGTACCGATGCAGCAGTATCAAAACAACCGTTGCCAACATCCACAGCCGATGTGACAATTACTGACGTAGCTCCGGTCGCCAAAACCAACGACAATGCGGTGCATTCAAGTGAACGACAAAAAAATGCGGTCGAATCGACAAACAACCAAAAACCCATCGAAATCCCAGACAATTTCCGCACAACAATTACAGGTGACAAGGAGAAATTTTGAAAAATGTTGCATTAAAATAATTGCAAATCATCTCTTGAACATTTCAACTAAAAAGTTGTATTTCTGTTTTGTAGTTGACAATCCGATAGAGGAAACAATCACAACAACATCGGAAACTCTATTGGAGCCAAGCGCCACTACTGCGTAAGCCGCCAAATAAGGATTAAATCACTGTAAGGGAAAGAGTGTGAACAGAAAAGAAGGAAACAAACAAAATTTTTTTTTTGGAATTCAGAAGGAGAAACTATCTATTTTCAAGAGAGTTTTGCAATATATATATTTGAATATACATTTTAATGTATAGATTTTATCGATTAAGATGAAGAATGAAATTTCTTCCACATAATTTCATTATTTGCATTTCAACACACAACAAAGAAAAAGAAAACGTTTGAACAATGAAAATGGAATCAATTCAGAAGAGAATATTTGATTTATGGTCCATATTTTTCTTAAACAGCATGTACTACACAAACAGATGATCTAATTGATTTTAATAATTCAGATAAATTCAAATACTATTTACACATTAGATCACAAAGTGGTTGCATCCGATCGATGCGTAAAGAATGGATTACAAAAAAATGGTTTTGCTTGGACGCAATTTGCATGTAAAATCTGTAAAAAAAAAACAATTCAAAATATCCATAAAATGGCCAATTTTTCTAATTCATGAAATAAACACACAGAACATCAGCAGATTGTCAATGAACTGGGAGAAATGCCATGATGCTTACCCATTTTGATAATGAAAGGATTTTTTTTTGATTTGTTATTTCTTACGATAGATTTAAGTTCGATACCTTATTTTTTTTGTTAGCACACACACCCATTAAAATTTAAGCTGAAGTTTGATCTTAAATAAAGTTACAAGTCAAAAATCAATTGGTTTATTGTCTACAGCTCAAAACTAAGCACTTGCATGAAATCCTTTGATCTCGATTCGAAGGTGGTTTTTTTCTTTAAATTAACAAAGAAAAGCAAATTGTTTGCATTCATTTTCTTCATTTCGATATTCCGAAAAAGAGTTATAATCAATCAAGTACAAAATCAATTATTCAGAACATACAAAATGGAAAAAAACCTTGCAATTTTTACAATTTTTATCAAAAAAGTAAAGAAAATTATAAGAAGTCATATACGCGCCAAAAAAAGAAAAAGAAGAGAACAGTGAAAAATTCAAAGACAAAGCAAGTGAATTTTATTTTCTTATTATTATTACCTTTTTTGAAGAATTAATTAAGATTTTTAAATCGTTTTTTTTTGTAATTTTTAAACAGAGAGTAAAACAAACAAAATCTGAATATATATAAATTGGAGGAAATAAACTGTTGATGTTTTAATTTTCTTTCAAAAGCATTTCGGTTGAAATAGGCGAGCCGAAGAGAAATCGTAAGTAATAACTGTGTTATAAATGACCGAAACGGCACATATAGAAACGCGTAAAATCGCCACTTTCGGATCATTATCTCGTTCACACATCAGACGCATTCGCCACGATTGCTTGCCCACTATTTGTGCACGTAGCACACACATCATGAGCACTTGATGAATGAAGACATCTTCTTGAAACTACACCAACGATGAACAATCAAGATTAGTTTCTCTGTCGTTCACTACTGCCATGTGCAACCAAAACCACAGGCTAACCCACAAAAGTGTTCAAATTCAAGGAAAATTAAGCAAGCAATCGACCCCAACATCATATTCTTACCTGTTTTCAGTCACTCAAAGTGAAACAGAACAAATTATGCACTTTCCAAAGCCAAATTCAAGTGAAACAGAAATAATCCAATCGTTTTTCTAGTACAGAATATAATCCGTTTAGCTGAGTAGTGAAAAGAGATGTGTTTTTTCGTTTAAAAAATTATTTCAAAAAGTAATTTTATTGCTTTCTTCATTCCTTTTGAAATGTCTGAATATCGTGAGTTCATCGTTTTTTCTCTGTCTGTTTACATTGTGATTCAACCTAACTTCCCTGTGTGTAACTAAGATGTTGAGCATATAACATCGTTGCTGCTCAATTATTATTGACATTATTTCTGCGTTGTATTTTGCTTACTTAAAATTACATGAGTACGTACATATGAATACGTTAAATAATGACTTTCGTTAAAAACTTTACAATAAAACCTAAAAAACTAAAGCATTCACTAGACTCCACAATCGCGATGTGGATCCGAAGTTTTAAAATTAAATGGAGGGAGAAAAAAGAAGAACCGCGTGTGGTTTCCTCTAGCACGTGCTAACAAGCGATGCATTCAAATGTATCAGTCGTTTATGCATCCGTTGTAATGGTGTTGCGTAAAATCGTTGTACTCGGTCGAGTGTTTTCTGGCCCTCATCATAGCGACCGACTTTATTTGGTGTATGATAGGCGCTGTGATTGTTTAGTGAATCGGTGCTGCCGAATGCGGTAACAAAGCTGCTGCTGTTGCTACCACCGCCGCCAATGCTCGAATCCATGCAATGGCTATGACCCAAGAGTCCTGGCGATGCCATCGACGAATTGCAACAGCTTTGATATAGCGATTGTTCCATTTGTTGTCTCTGGCGTTTCTTTTGTGATCTTTGCAATACTTGTAACTGTGTTATAATCGCTTCGATGTTACGTTGTACCTTAATTGTGCGCACCGAAATGGTGTTGTTGTTTTTCTTCATCTCGCGCATCGATCGCCTCGGTGTGTCCACATCACTGCTGTGACACGAATCCATGCTATCGTTCATCAGCGACGATATGCATGGCCGTTTTGGCGTTGAACTGTTCGCCATTTGCATGCGACGATACAAATTTGGGCGCCGTTTAACTGGGGTGCTGCTGCGAAAACTGTTATCGTTGCCATCGTTTTCGTTATGCATGGACTGATCACGTGGACGCATTTTTGGGTATGGCGAAGAAGACGTCAAGCTCGAATTTCTGCGATAATTTTCCAAATTATGAATGACAGCCATGTAATCGGTTTGATTGTACTTCGTATTGAGACGTTGAATGTGCAATAGCGTGCCTCGTAGTTGCGTTTTCAGTTGGTTGCAGTGAATTAGCGCCGAATTTATTTGGCTTACTTCCTCCGATGATTGCATGGCGTTCACGTTTTTTTTTGTTTACAACAGCCGTGTGGTGGTCGATTTCACTGAATCGCTCTACTTCACCTTTATGAATTGACGAAAATGACAAGTTTCACTGGTTCTATTGCTGCTGCTGCGGCTGTGATTTTCGTGCGAACGATGATTTACGATGCGTTAATACCGAATATGGTTGAAATGTCACTTAAATTTTGAGTCAGAACTTAAACAAACAAAATAAAATATCACATAAAATTCGTCGGCAGTAAATGTTCGATGCTTGATCGTCGCATTAACTTTTTTTCTCTACACAATACACAGTTTCCTGGTCTACTTTTTAAGTTAAACAACTACGTCTGTTTTTTGAGAAACAAAATGTCTCTTGTAACAAATGCGACAAAAATTTATTCGATTTCTAAACTTTTTTTTGAGGTGTAAAACTAGACGTGTCAAGATGGTCGAATGTGTTAACTTTATGCTGGTCAAATGTAAAGTGACAGCGTTTCGATGCAGATGATGAATTTTAAAGCAATTCTATGTGTATGAGCACACATTAGAACAACGAAATAGAACGTAGTGAACAATGGAAAAAAAATATGAGAAAAACATCAAAAAGCAAAACTGAAATACTTTTCAACGCACCAATAGAGCTAAGATAGGTAGAAGAAATCGTTCATTGCACACGAACACAACGAAAAGCCGAACGTATCGTTGTTTGCCGGTGAGCTAAAGGGCAAAGAGAACGGTTGACTCAGACGACCACAGACAAATACAAACAACAACACTCACACACAGAGACACAAACAAACAAAAAACATAAACACGGCTTGATCCATTGCAATGTGTACCTTATTCTCTCACATATTCTGAACACTATTGGCAATTAGGAAAGCATTTTTGTCATTTCTCTTTCACCTCATCTCATCTCATCTCATCTCATTTCTTCGTGAGTTCGTTTTTTTTTTCTTTCTCTTCGTTCGTTCGTTATGAACCTCAGTTGCTATTGTTTTTGCAAATAATTTTTTTTTACTGTTTTACTGTTCGGAATACGGCAGTTTATGGCATACTCTCAATTCTGTAATGCCTAATGATGTGGGAATTTCCCGAATATTTTTTCTTCATTCGTTGCAATTGCGTTCCGTTCAGAAGATGGCATACACTACAACGGTTAGAGAAGATACATGAACAAACGGGAAATCGGTTTTTTTTCTATGCAGTTTTATTCTTCGCAAAAATGCAAATAATAATATTGTTTTTGTTGCAAAATGTCGCTTGTTTATTCAAAACATATTCAGCATGCATAGGCCTAATTGCCTGAAAAACAATCAAGATCGAAGTACACACAGATCCATCGGTTTTTGGGGCAAAGATGCATATTATTTTTTTTATAGAGCTTTGAGCTCGAGTTTTTATGATTGCGATGCATGCAAGTATGGGAACGCATGTCACCTGATTGAATATTTTGAAATGACAACAATAAACGCTCCTTTATAATGTCATTAACATTTTTTTGAATATCTCTGTACGAGTTCGTCATTGGGCCAGTCATCGCAAAACCATTTCATAATGTATGCGATGCGTGTGAAGAAATATCTCACTCGAATGTCAACTTCGTTTGTGAATGACCAAAAACTCTCAGGATTCGATTTGGCCGTGGGAACAAGACAGATTTAGAACCATTGATGGAAAAACGAATGGCAAATTGTTATAAAGTGTATATTGCACCAGCTTAAATATTGTATGTATCTATTATTTTCACGTTCATTGAAAGTTTCTACTTGGAACAGTCTAAACAATGGTGGAAAATACGAAGTAAGACACATATTGCTTCATTGCAAATGTTGAAAATGTGATTTTGTCTCTCACAAATTAGGATCTTGTTGTGCCAACAACAGTTTTGCGACCGAAGAAAATCCGCATGAAGCCAAATCCCAACATAGATCAGATACGGATGTGTATTGCGATGACAGCGATATTTCTTCATGCGATCTCTTGCCGACTCGTGTCATTTTTACGTACACCATTTTTCTCAGATGAAAAAATTGTAAGTGGAAAAAAACAGCGGCGAGCAGATGAAGACTTATGAAATTATAGTGTCGAAGCATTGTATTTTGATGGATTTAATTGTTCGTATCGTCCGATTTGCACGGATTTTGACACAGTTTCAACCATATGTGCGCCATATAATGTGGCTTGCTAGTGGTTATGGTTTGCTTTCAGCTTAATGACGACCGATCGCAGAGCGATGATAAATTCATGGTTGGCGCGCAGAAAAACGGGTCAAAATGCATCAAGACGAATGTTCAACTGTGATGATTATTTAATGAAGACACTGTGTTTTTGATTTGCTCGATGTATGTGTACATGAGTGTCGAATTAAAGCAGGTAATGAACCAAATAGCTCCAGCACTGTGGGCGCCCAACTACGGTGTACTGTACACCTATCTGTGTGTACGGCATGTCATAAAAACAGTGTCATTATTCCGATTACATATATGGTGGTTGTTATTTGGTTGTTACCCTTTCGTTATCCGCGGTAATACTGAACTTTCGCTGATATTTGCGCGTCGCGAATTGCGCAACCGATCCCAATTATACATCAAATCATCTCTCTCTGGCATACACAGCAATGTGGTCAAAAGAGTTTTATTGTACAGAATCTTTCGGGCGATTCGTGAACGGTGCTGCAAATCCAAAACAAAACAAAAAATCAGACGAAACAAGAAGAGAAGCACAAATAACCTGTTGATACAGCAAGATTGTACGATTCGAAACTGTGAGTGAAAGAATGTGTGTGTGTGTGTGTGTGTGGTAAAGAGAGAGGCTGTGATAATGTAATTGGCTATTTAGATTGATGCGTTGATGTTAAACACCATTCTATTAATCATGTTAAGTTGTCGGAGACGTTCAATTTGCAATTTGGAAATTGTTCGACAAAAACGAAATGAAAACGCAACGAAAATTGCCATTCATTACAATTGATCGAACTCAATTACATATATAGTTTGGGTGTTTTGTTGTTTTACTTCTACTGTGCATACAAAATTCCGCACCGAAGTCAAATGGCAATAATATATACGGACGTTCAATTGGCCAAATGTAATATGCAAATTGTAGCCGTAAAATAATTTAACTAAAAGGCAATTCAATTGATTCACCAGGAGTCAAGAAATACACAAATTCCACACACAAATCAAATGCACGGCAATTTTGTTTCGCGAATGCCTGTATGCCGAGTATAACTGGCAAAAAGTATGCGTTGGATTCGACATAACCGTCGCATTAAAAGCCCATTCAGGTGGAAAATGCGCACGATGGGCACACGTTCAACATAAAGAGAAAAACACGAGAGAGAGAGAGAGAGAGAGAGAGAGAGAGAGAGAGAGAGAGAGAGAGAGAGAGAGAGAAAGAGAGAAAGAAAAAAAGATTCGTCTCCGATGTGACGGCGACTACGTAATTTTTGTGCTGTATTTTACCTTTCTCTTGGCCATCATCTGAGAGCATCCAAAAAGACAGTTGTTACATGTTTGCGCATCTAAACATTCCCATAAGCAAAACAAAGCGAATCGAATGATTCGATAACATTATCGAATTTAAGTCAACAACAAAAAAATGGAAGGAAGAAAACAAATAGCAATCGGGTGTGTGTAAAGACGACATCATATGACCAAAACCAGAAATCGAAATTGATCAGACATACACACTCGCACACTCATTCAAGTTGTGGTCAAATGTAATGGGCAGCCGGGCAAAATTTGCAATTGGCGATTATGTCGGCGCAGAAAATGCGCTTTACCATTAGATTTCAATCGAAATGCAGCATCTTACACTCACTTGGAATATGGCCCTTCCTTGTTATTTATGAATCCATTGTTGGCCAGCTGGATATTTTGCCATTCACATTGGTTCGCGCTTGTTTTTTCCGCTGTGGCTAATCAAATTGGTTAAATAATAAAGAGCGAGAATTTCAAAGAGCGAAATAAAACAAAGTTGAGGCACGAGCAGATACACGATTTCAACGGCAGAAAAAAAGACATTATACACATGGACAGGGTTTCAACGCTCATGTTTTATTTTTGTTGTTTGATATTATAAGCACATGTAAAACATGGGAAGGCCCAATGATACAAACGAACAAGGCGAGCACATGCGGCACTCTCGCAATCCGATATTCTTTTCACTAGCTTAATGTTAAATGAATGGAACTTAACAACTTCTCATCGTAACAACGATGATAATTGCAAGCTGTCCGCATTAAAAGACTTAAGTCGACGATGTCTGTTTCAATCAAGACAATTCAGCGCATGTGATGCTGTTGTCGACAATTTGGTTTTTTCTTCTTGCAACAATTTTCAGCGATTGCCTCGATAGCCGTCGCATCGCAAAATGACTCACATGCTATTGTATAAGCAATCGATGTGTTCGCCCTTTTCTTCGCACCGCGCACACGCTAACACGGTATTGAACGTGTGTGTGCACGCGAGTAAAAGTATGGTTTTAACAAAATCGCGATGTGTCTACAAACATCTTTCATTTCATTTTATTATATTACATTATCGTTCTCAGGAAGTGATGCACGCATATATGATTCCCATAAATGATTGCCACCTCTGGTTAATTGCCTGCAGAAGAAAGCCATACACCAGCAACAGCAAGAGAAAAACGCGGTGAATTTTTTTACGGTGACAAAATTTTATTTTTTTTTCTCTTCATTTCATAAAACACTTAATAACTAACATCAAAAAAGAATAAAAATGATATATTTACAAATTGTTAAAGAAAATAACAATTATATTCCATGTGAACAGCGCCGATTTCGCCATCAAGATGTTTGAAAGTAGCAGTGCGATTGTTCGTATCAGCTTCGGCTTTTCAATCATTTTGATGGGTTTGCCAAGTAGAAGATTTGTTTGTTTGTTTGTTATCAGTTATTTCGAATGGACAAAACGGAATTCCATATTTCACATATCGATGGTGCAGGCTCTGCTTTTGGTTCGTTGTATTAAACCAGTTTTTTTTACCATCAACTCAACCCGTATGTATTTTCAGTGTGTGTGAATGTTCAGCTGTTGCTATTTTATTCCGTTTTCGATTCCCATTCGTTTAACTGATGTGATGATAATCGTGTTCCGTTTACATATTTCCTTACATTTTTCCATCCGTTTGAATTTGGCGAATTCGTAGTCATTTGGCCTTGCCTAGCGTCATTTTATCATTGTTGGTGTTGGTTTTTTTTTTCGTTGCGAACTATGAGTTTATGTTTTTTCTAATGAAAAAATTTGTTCTTAATTTCACAAGTTGGCTTTTGTTAGACCAAACACTCCTTAGAATGGGGCACCGTATTGTGAGCTTGGGGCTGATGGAGTGCCGTAGCTTGATGATGGTGCTATAACGAAAAAAAAGGAAAAATTCCACGTTAATTGTCGTTAAACATGATGAATCAGTGATTTTCTTTATTAGAATACTTGTTCATTTGACTTACCTGAGATGCTTGGTGCTGAGTAGCTTTGCTGTGGGGCCGAGTACGATTGTTGTGGTGCTGAGTAGCTTTGTTGTGGGGCCGAGTACGATTGTTGAGGAGCTGAGTAAACTAATTTATCAAAATGAAATGAAACAAATTAATTCTTGTTCGTTGCAAATTGACTCTTCTTTAAATTGATCATTATGATGGATTAATCGTGCGATTATCATTTCGATGAATTTATAATTATTCAACGGTATTTTCAAAGTTATTTTATGGACGTTCATTAATATTTGAAAACTTTTTTCCGCGAATAAATTTTGAACGTAATTATTTTTCGCAAAATTTTTGTCTAAAAAGTGAAATGTTATTGTATACCTTGAGCTGGAGCTGGGGCTGGTGAGTATGAGTATCCACCCGATGATGGAGCGGCGCTTTGTTGCGAGAATGAAGCAACTTGGATTGATGGAATGGTGTTTTCCAAGAGGATTCCAACGACACGGCCAGATGGACCCGATGGAACCCCATATTGCGATGATGGGGCCGAGAAAGATGAGGATTGGCTTTCTTCACGCAACAAAATTTGACGAACTTGTTCCAACAATTGTGGATCTACGTTGGCGCCTTCGTTCGATTGAAAACCGCCGCTGCTGCCGCCGAATGAGCTGCCGCCGAAGCTGCTGCCACCGAAACCGCTTGATCCGAAACTGCTACCTCCAAGTCCAGTTGATGGACGATTGTAGCTGTATGGCGATGGTGGTTCGGCTACAACCAAGGTAACCATCGTGACGGCGAATAGCTAAAAAAAAAAATCAACAAACAACACAATGAGGAAAAAAAATCACAATTCCAATCAAAAGGTGAATCTAAAACTAAATTTCTTTCTAAGAAAGTATAACGATGCTTTCCGTTTCGTTAACAAGCACACGATTCGAAGTTTTTTTCCCGCTTCGCTATAAGTTAATATTTCAACGATGGCATTCAGATAATAAATGTTCACTTTCGAAAATTGCACGAATGACGGTCACAAACTGCGTGTCATTTCCTCGAATCGAAATGTCGCGACACAATAGAAAAAAAAAACAACAAGAAAAAAATGTAAAATATGGTGACTGCAATTTTTATGGTAATCCAATCGGCGGGTATCTCAAATCGATTTGCATTTTAGTCTCGGTGGCACAGACTCGCTATAAATCCAATGGCACAGAGTGAAACCAATTCCGGTGACAAAAATCGTGGGTATATCGTCGGTTATTGAAAGTGATGAACACAACAACGACAGCAGCAGAATAGAAAAACTTTTACTTTTGACTTTCGCGATTGTGCACATATGAATTGATCACTCAGTTACAATAACTGTTTTTTTTCCATCTTCTTCATTTCGATTTTTGTCGCTTTCTATAGAATTTCACTAAAACACTGATGCCAATTATATAAAAATCCCATGATCCGTGTGTGATGAAACGAAACGAAATGTAAAAAAAAAAACACAAAAACCCAATTTAACTGGTGCGTTTCAATTCACTTACCGCTGTAAATGAGTTCATTTTGCTTAAGATTTGTTGTTTCCACACGGAAGACTTGTGACTGAATGTGTCTTTTCCAGTCGCGATGCGGCTCTTTATAGGTAAAATCCTCGCGGAATGGTGGAAGGTGAATTTCGTTTTTCTTCTCTCTTTCATTTTGGTATATTTCTTCTTCATCTTTTTTCTTCTTTCGCTTTTCTTTCGCTCCGTGTATCCGTTGTTATGAATCCATATTGTGACCGTTCAGCTAGACCTTCCACTCGATTTCAACGGTGGTGTTGTTGTTGGATGCTTTTTTT